ATACCATTGAAAACACGGTAAGTCCATCCCTCGCTTTCGTACCTGTCATGGCGCTGCTCTGAAAAAGGTCGTGTATTGACCATTTACCAATGATTTGATACATCATACATCGTTTATATTTATAATTAAAATCTGTATCAAATATTGACTTATTGGCTTAAAAACATTAAATCAGTTGAATCGCGCCCATTTATTAACCTGCATATTGGAATATATTATCCGGTCAAGAGAACCTGTTCAAAAGAACCGAGCCAGCCAGGAGTCGAACCTAGAATCTTCTGATCCGTAGTCAGACGCGTTATCCATTGCGCCACTGGCCCGATACGTGTACGGTGCGAACATACGGGAACTCTCAGTATAACTGTTCCCAGTAATCTGATTCAAAAACACGATTAAACTTATTTAACGACAGCTGTCTGATAAATTTCAAATTACGTCGTTGTAAAACAAACATCGAATACCTCAATTAAAGTAATTTGAAATAACCGAGATAAATCTTGAATGTGTGACTTAGTATGTTTAGCCCCATAGTTAGCTAACTGGCTAGCTAGCAATTGTCTACTTTTAGGCACTTTTATAAAGCTAAGCATTTCATGTTTACTTCAGCAAGTAAAGAAACCTGATTTAATTTCGCGTTGATCTCAAAGATATTGACTGTCTACATGAGGAATTTTATTAACTACAAGATAACCAAGTAGCTGTCAAGCATTGTCTTTAGCCTTTAGTTAGCATGACACAATCCCCGAGTATATGTACAAAGTACGTTTCCTTTACCGGTCTATCTCCGATTTTGTTCGTGCAATAAGATGTGTTTTTCTTCTTGCCAATAGCTCCATCACATGTTCCTACGAGAACTGTCTCGTGTATCGATGTTGCCATGATTATTGAGCAGAAATCCTCAGTCCATGTGGTTCTCTGAACATGTGGAGACTAAAGTTGACACTCGACGCCTATGTTACCTAATTGTTTTGATATTAATAGTCTTGAACGTGTTTTATCGAATCGATACTGATCTATAATTGATATTCAATCAGAAATTACCTGTTTAATTTAAAACTTTTTTTTTTAGCAATGTTTGTAAGATTTATTTAAATGATTGCAAACGACATTTGATTCCGTTAAGTGAGGTGCATAGTGCATACATTGTTTTTGTTTTTTTACAGGTTGTGCATGTAAATTTATTTCATTTTTTTATTCATAATCTATTTTGTATAGATTCATTTTGAGTCTATTTCAGCTGCAAAGTCGTATCGGGCCAGTGGCGCAATGGATAACGCGTCTGACTACGGATCAGAAGATTCTAGGTTCGACTCCTGGCTGGCTCGGTTCTTTTGAACTTCGGTTCTTTTGAACTTCAATTCTCGAAACTGCATTGTGACGGTGCTAATCGAGTCTGGCATGGATGCTCGCATAAATATGTACGTGAAATAGGCACATTAATTCAATATCATATAAAAATAAGTCTTTACAACTCATGTGATGATTCATTGACTGAATACGTTTCGCTTCGTGTTAGTTATCTTCAATAAAAAAAGCATATAGGCCTACTTGAATCCTTTGCTAACCTGACACTGCTACACTGAAGAAAGAGGTAAAAGGTGACCTAAACCAATGTTTTTAAACTAAGCCATTTATGGCATTTAAGCGTTAAAAGAGTGGAAGTCTACTGCCCTCTCGCGGCATCTCCTCATAGATTAAAATCAAAATAATATCTGTTAAATGCCTCTGTTTCATAGAATATCTCCCCTGCTGTAATGAGATGCACCATTGGCGCCTGAATAACGTGATTATAACATATTAACATGGGAAACTTCATGTAAAACAAAATATTTCCTTTGTATTAGTTCAGGTAAATAAGTATGTAGTAGCAAGGACATGCCGCGAGAGGGCAGTGCGGTTCCGCTGTCTTGAACAACACGAGAGAGACTTTCCATTTACGTTGTAAAAACGCTGGGTGCACAAACTTTGAATATTTGTGAATGATTATCTGAAGCTGGTCCAGTAAAGAAAACGAATTAAACCTTGTGCGTCGATTTTAAAAAGTTACTCTGAGGTCCTTTAATAGAGGATAAAAAAGTCTGTGTTTAAAAACTGTCATAAAAATGTGAAGCTTGGGAGCACAGACCTAAGTTTGGTCTCATTTTAAAGAAGACCCTTAAAGCTAATTGTTGAATTAAAAAAAAGATTTTAAAAAAAGTGAAACTAAAAAAATATATCAAATTTTATAAAACATGTTGAATTCAAAAACTGCTAGAAAATCAAAGCCATAAATCTAAACAAGTTAGATGCCAGCAAAGCTCCACTGATACACACAGACAGTGGTTGGATTTGTGATTTGCAGTAAAGTAGATTTTTTTTCTGTCTCTAATATCACACGCGCACACACAATTTGTTTGAGTAGCCTACACATACAAACCACACTCTGACATCCACACAAATATGTCAAATGCCAAAAGACAAATGTCCTTAAGGACGCACAAGGGAAAACTGTAATTTTTACTCTTGGTACTGGCTGTTAAATCATAATTTTGTCTTTTTTAAACTTAAAAGCTTTGACGGTTTTTATTTTCTTGAAGATAAACAAAACAGTGGCGAATTCGACGAAACGTATTCAAACATAAAGGAATAATTTCAGTCGAGCTGTTAAGATTGTTTTTATGACAAACTGCAGTGACCCAGATTAATATGAACCTTCACATACATTGTAGGTGCGTCCTGTGTCCATTCACTACACTGTTTGTTGCAATGTCATGTTCAAAACCGACTTAAACGAACTCGAGAATCAGTTCAAAAGAACCGAGCCAGCCAGGAGTCGAACCTGGAATCTTCTGATCCGTAGTCAGACGCGTTATCCATTGCGCCACTGGCCCGATGCATACCCCTAACACACTGAACTCTCAGACAATTATTGTATTATTACTTCGCAAGGTATTCAAAACATTCAAACTTAGCAATGCTTAGCTTCACTCGCCGCGGTTCAGGTACATGAATCACAACATTTGATGTTTTAAAACTTTGCAGGTTTGAATGCACATTATAGCACATTAGAACGGACATTGTTCTGTTTGTAGGTTGAAATACACATATATCCATATATTTATTTGATCTGTACTTATCCATGTAAGGTCATTGTCTCATTGACAAAACCCTTATTTCGTCATTATGAATAGGCACTGGGGTAAAGGGAATCTTTGATGAATTACAGCCACTATTTGATAAAGGTCAATGTGTTGCCAGATTGAAAGAAAACACACCACTAAATCATTTTGTGTGATATTTTTTAACTTTTAATGTAGTTTGTTGTACTATTTATTATAAATTATTTATCCGTGCACATCATAATTTTTTATGCATGTGCCATTGCAATCTATAATCAAAATAACTAGTAAAAAAAAAACCTCCCTCAATCAATTCCTGATGGACAAAATCAAGTCACGCCATACATTACATTTTTCTTGTTTGAAAAGAGTTTCATTTGGATATAACCACCATAGGCATTGAGGAGGACAAGCCAAACTCTGTTTGCCCTGCTTTAACCTCGTGCACGAGCAGACTCCCGCTTGCAAATCCCGTCATGTAACGTTAAATAGCGAATCCGCCATGGCGCGAGAGCAACTGGCTTTTAAAGGGAATAGGAGATGAGACTCTGATTGTTTTTTTGCACGTTACGGCCAAAACACACCCATTACTCATTAAGAGAATAGGGACAACCCGACCATTTCCCCCGTCGTTAAATTAGCAAAAGTGGACCGGATTCAGATTTCGGACACGCAGTGCACTTGCGCCGTGCGCTTTAGACTATGCCCGTTTAGGGGGCTTTCACACTGGGCTCGTTTGCTGCGGTCTGAGCGCGGCGCCCCCCGCAGTGTTGGTCTGGTTTCACACTCAACTTGATTCTGTCTATGATCGAACCTTGGTGCGTTTGCGTGCATATTATGTCATCGCAAACGTGCACGGCGCATGATAGAAAACAGAACGCGGGTCAATATATATATATTTTTTTATTAATTCGCTGGTATTATGCGCAGTTGAGTGAACAATACAGGTTTACTGTGCGTGTGTCACATAAGGTGGCCTTCTGCTGCTTGCAAACGGACTCTTTTGAGGAGACAGTGGATTTCCAAATTTGGTGCCCTAGATTTCACGCGCAATGCACGAATACACTGCATGCTCACTCTCGCTCGTACCCAAGGTAAATCGTCAACACTATCATCCCTTACAAGTGTTTTATTTAACTGAATACATCACAATGAGCTAAAACGTATGCGCAGGTCACTTTACTTCCTGAACAAGTGCGCACCCGAGTCCGTGTTGCTTTCACATTCACGCGAACCGCGGCACGGTTCGGGAGCAACCGAACTCAGACCACCTCCTCCAGGTAGTCTCGGGTTCGGTACCCCAGTGCGCACCCGGGTCCCATGACAGCGTTCACATTAGCGATTTTTCATGCGAACCGTGCCCCGTTCCGAAACTAAACTGCCAGTCGTCAAAATATGGCCCTAGACCAGGTTTGAGTTGATCAATAGCGCAGTCTATTTCAGTTGCCTCAAAATAGCAATGCGTCATCAAAGCGCCTGAACCTATTTTTTTACAGTCTATGGCCTGAACACACCTCGGTTTCAGACCAGAGCACAAATGGGCGCAAAAGCATTTGCTACAACGCGCAGACATCCAGTCTTTTTACATTTTTGACATATTATATATACAAACAAAAGTGAATGTGTGCATTAAAAAAAAAAATATATATATTTGCAAAAAGTTTAAATGGATTACTTCACAACTATAGGCTATAATTACACCTAGAACTGCTTTTACCGTTCTTATTTCTTCTTTATTCTATTAAATCCCTTTTAATCCTTAAAAAAATCCTTTAGATAAAAAGACCACCACCAAATCAATTTAAAATAGTTGTTTTTTATTAGAAATAATCTGGCAACCACAGTTCATAAAACAAAGTTCAAAGTTTGGCCAGATCACGCAGTTGTGTAAATAACCGTGCAGAGCTTGTGAACTCATTCTGCAGCAGGACTGACCGCTCACGGCATGGCGATGAGGGAGTGTGTCGTGCTCTCACTCATGCTGGTCGCACTGACTCTTCAAAACACTGTGAAAGCAGAGGATGGTAAGTCACATTAATGTGTCATGAGTGCGTTTACTTGCACAACAGTACGCTAACTCTTTTCTTGTCAAGATAAGAAAACGACATTTATACAAGCTTCGAAGCAATCGTGTTTTCACGCGTTTTTCTTTTACTGTATGTTTTTTTTTTGACGTCAAAAAGTAATCGGACATGCATGCACACATTGACGACTCCGCTGGAAAGCAATGTATGCTGTTGCTTTAGTAAAATTGGTTTACTAAACGGGAAATTCCGTCGAAAGTGCATTCACAGAAGTAGGTGTGTCGATCGGGGTTTGCTTTAATAAAACACTATATAATGCGTGTATATGATGCATAGTTTCAGATGGAGTACAGCATATATAAATTAAATAAATATAAATGAACAATGACAACAGTATAGGCTACAGATGTATAAAATAGTTTAGCAATTATAGCACACATTAAATTAAAATAAAGTAGTTTCAGATGAAGTATAGCAAGTGTAGCATATGCAAATTAAAATAAAATAAATGATACCAGTAAATAAATACAAATTATAAAATAATTAGCATACAATATTATAAATGATTTTAGATGAAGTTTAGCAGGGATAGTAATGTCAATTAAAATAAAATAAATCAATCAATATAAAATAATTAGTGTAAAATGTATAAAATAGTTTCAGATGAAGTATAGCATAGGTAAAATAACATCAATATAAAATCAATATAAATTTGAAATGATGAGCAAATTATAGGTTAGTAGAATAGTATTTTAATTATGGTAATTAATAGTAAAAAAGAAATTAAGGCTAGTATTTTAATTAAGCATGTGAATTGTAATAAAATCCAAAAAGTATCCAAAGTCTTTTGAAATTTTCAGGACATCCAGCGGTTACTTTTTAGTATCACTAAGTCACCTGTGCGAGAAAAAAAAATCTGCATCTTTGCACCGTTCATACGGATTACATAATCAGACGGTATTTGCTTTCGATTCGAATTTGCTTGTTTAAAAGTGGACATTTCAAGCTTTATATAGGTATATTTAAGCACCATCTTAAGTTTAAATGTTAGAAAAAGAAATCAATTTTAAGACATCTTGCCATATTAAAAGTGGACGTTTCTGAAGAATGACCCATCTTCTCTTATAAAGATGAAGATTGACATTGTTAATTAAAAAAAAAGCACATAATGTTGTAAAAAATAAACAACTTATGTTCTGTTAGATCTGTTTTGACTACTTTTTTTGTATAATTATATCTCTAGGTAAGGTAGGCACGGTTTACAAATCTGAGAGCGTGGATTAGAAACTCGTGGGTACGGTTTATTAATCCGTGGGCACGATTTGTTAAACCGAGGGAACAGTGTAAGAATTCGTGAGTACGGTTTATAAATTGAGGGGACGGATTGTTTTTTTTTTCTCCCACAGATGACTTCCCGGGTTCCGTAGAAAACTCGTACCGTGAAAAAATCCTTTAAACTCTATCTCTCTCTTTTTAAATTAATTACACAGGACCTGTCCTGCAAACCAAATCTGGGGTCCTGAAAGGATCACACATGAAAGCAAAAGGAAAGGACACAGTCGTCCATTCTTACCTGGGAATACCGTTCGCCAAGCCACCCGTGGGTTCATTGAGACTCGCTCCACCCCAACCTGCAGAGAAATGGGCCGGAGTGAGAGATGCTACAAAACAGCCGCTCATGTGAGAATAAATCCAAGCTAATCCACCAGTAGATCAATGCCTTTGCTTCAGGTCCTAGATTTTACACTGGAGAGCAAGTAGTGAAACTTGTGTTACTCTGTGTCTGTCCCAGGTGTCTGCAGGATAAGCAGATACTTGAAGACTTGGTGGCCAATGTATCTATGAATATAGAGGTTCCTGATTCAGCAGAGGACTGTCTTTACCTCAACGTCTACACACCTTCTAAACCTGGAGCTAATGACAAGTTGCCTGTAAGTTTGAATGATTTTGTTGATGTTTATGTATTTTAATATTATATGTATTTTATGCATTTTAATAGTATTTTAATGTTGCAAAAGGTTATGGTTTGGATCCATGGTGGAGGTTTGTCGATGGCCTCTGCGTCCATTTTTGACGGACATGTTTTGGCTGCCTATCAAGATGTAGTTGTGGTCCTGATTCAATACAGGCTTGGCCTACTTGGATTTTTCAGGTAAAGACTAATTGTTACCAACATAAAGATCTAATAAAATCCTAAATAGTTTCAACTAAATCTAAAACATGCTTGAAATGTGCTAACAACCTTTAACTACATGATAGAAAATTAACATGCTAAAACATGAATGTAACTTCCATGAATGCAAAGACTTTATATATAGAAAGACTGTGCACTCATATTACTATGAATGGGAGAAAGTGGAATGCGCAGTATGTTGGAATAAGTCCCACCTTCTAAATAAAAGATTGATAGATTGATAGATTGATAAAGTTATTGTGTCACAGTTGCTGTAGAAACAGTCAGTGTTTTTGAGATGCACACTTAGGACGGCACATGTGCATTGGCTGGTCCTGCCTGAAAAATAAGCTTTTTAAGTGCTATTTGAGCACAAGAAATGACATTTATGGGACAGTTCATGTCAGATTTTGTTGCTGATTTGAAATCTTTTTAAAATACTTAAATCTTTAAAAATATTTAAAACCTTCAAACTTCAAAATTTTAAAACTATTTCAGTCTTACAACTTGTTAAACCATTTTAAACATTCAGACTAAGCTTTCTCAAGCATACATCAACGTTTATCAACAAACTTTACTGTCTAGTTCTAAATAATATCACTGGCAAGATATTGAAGCACTTTTTCTCGTTTTACCTGTCCAGGTGTTGGAGTAACATTAAAAGATGACAAATCAAACATTATTAAGGTCTAGGTTTGGTTTGCATTCAGCAGGCCATGTGTTTTTGGACTTCAGACTTGCATGTAATCTGTTTTTGAATGGCTATAAAGTCCTACTAGTTCATGATTGTGATGCTTTAGAATCTCTGATTGATTAGTTTAAATGATTCAGTGCAATTGAGGTTTAAGGTCTCTGATGGAGTTGTATGATTGTATTCTGCCCTTTAGCACAGGAGATGAACATGCGCCAGGAAACTATGGTCTTCTGGACCAGGTGGCTGCGCTTCAGTGGGTCCAGGAGAACATCCACAGCTTTGGGGGCGACCCTGGATTAGTGACCATCTTTGGAGAGTCTGCTGGAGGAGTCAGTGTGTCTTTACATGTAAGAATTTATAATTAAAATATATATATATTCTGTAATATTGGCTTCTTTGAAAAGATCATTTTCGATATTTGGCGATATTATGCCCCTTTACAAAGTCTTGATTCACACAGTTGCAGCACCTCTCTTCCCAGTCTGCCAGTAACGCTCTGTTTAGTTCCTGTCTCTATGAAGCCCCTCCTTTTAAAAAAGCAAAATGTGCTCTGATTGGTTGGCTGGACCAGTGTGTTGTGATTGGTCAACCTCTTCGAGCATGTTTGGGAAATGTCACACCCCTTACCATAACCGCAAGTTCCCTTTTGAAGGAACTCCTCGCTGTGTCAGTTGCTGACTCTACGGAGACATGTCCTGCAAAACCCTGTGTCTGAAGCATGTGAGAGTGCCCAGACACACAAAAGGGTGCCTGCATTACACGTCATCAGCTTTTTTGTCTTCAGGAAGCCTCTTTGTTTGAATGCGATGTGAAGATTAGAGTCTGTTGGAGCGCATTTAACTCTCGAGGGAGCTAGATATGCTCATTGGAATGCATTTGAGGTAAGAAGTTCTGTTCTTGCTTGATTCTTTTTAGATGACAGGGTTTCCGCGGGGTTGTAAAAGGTAGTAAAAGGTAGTAAATTAAATTATGCCAAATTAAGGCCAGTAAAAAGTAGTAAAAAGTAGTAAACGTCATCTGACGAAGTAGTAAATTTTCGAACCCCCATCCAACTAGGCCTATGAGTTTCAATTTGTGTTAAGTGCAGGACTTTGTTCTAAAATTCGCGTGGATTTATTTATATGTTGCGAGTAGGACCTGTGCGATATCATGTGACGTGGTGTTTGTTCGTTCGCGCGCGCTGAAACAAACTGGGTACCCGGCTGGCCTGGCTTGCTGCCCAACCTGTTCGCGAGTTCGCTTCTATTTCAGTCATCAGTCGGCCGCCAAAGCCATATTTGATCGGTAGCCTAATGTAGTCAATTTCACCATATAGCCTACATTATTGAAATCAAAAGTTGTATTTGTTAACATTAGTTAATGCACTGTGAAGTAATATGAACAAACAATTCATGTATGTTGTAAACTACGTAGTATTTTCAGGTTATTTATGTTATAATGTGTAGAAACATTGAAAAAAAAAAAAAAAAAAAGTTTAGACTGGAGTGAGGTGAAACCAGAAAAAAAGTGCAAAGCAAGTTGTTATCTAGCAGCAATTTTTGTTATTTAATTTAAAAAAAAAAAAAGTATCTGGCAGCTAATTCTGTTAAATTTTACAGTATATGGTAGAAAATTAGACTTCAATAAACTTTTAAAATAAACTTTTTAATGCTCCGTTTTTATTCTACTTTTTGATATTGATATGATTATACCAAAACAATTATCACGTCCAGCAAAGAAGTATTTTTTTTTTTAAAAAGGGCAAGAAAGGATAAGTGTCTGTCGGCCACCACCGAAGACCAATTTTGACCAAGGAAAAAACCCTGGACATTATGGGGAAATGCAAGTTTTCGAAGATATTTCATTACTTTACTTGTCTCTATATACGCCACTACAGTTGCATCTTGAAGTCGTGATGGTATTAAAAAATATAGTGAAGGTATTAAAAGGTATTAAATTCATTTTTAAAATTTCTGTGTATACCCTGTATTAAATGAAAGATAAAATATGATAGAGCAATAGAATGAACAGTGACAGAAACAGAAGCATGCTTTTTAGCAGGATTAATTAAGCATGAAAATATCTGAAGGAAATATATATTTGATGAACAAATTAAGCCAACTAATATGATTTATATTCTTTTGGTTTATCTACTAATACATTTAAAAATTACAAATGCAGTGAAAATTCAGGGATCGGTTACGGTATCGATATCGGCGAGTACCAAAAATGAAAGTATTGGTATCCGTCTCGTTCTGCAAAAAGTGGTATCGTGCATCCCTAATTGAAAATATTTAACGGGTTCGCGTGAGGGAGGAGCAAAGCAGTGCCATATTTGAAGCACATTTAGAGATGTGATTAAATAAATTGCTGTTTTGGGATAGTAATTTCACTGCTTAAGTCTGTGTGTGTGAGAATGTGTGTTTGTGGGTAAGTGTGTGTGATGTGACACACTTTATTATTAATCTTTATTAAAGTTTATGGCTGTTAAGTGTCATTTGTTTTTAAGTGCCAAGGTTATTATTCACCTTATTAGGGCTAAGGGCTAACGTAATGGTTAGGATAACTCAAGGGCTAGGGTTAAAGGGGTCATATAATGCCATTTTTGTACAAGTTAATATGAATCTTTAGGGTCTAAATGAAAACTTTGTAATATACTTTTATCAAAAAGTCTCATTAGTATTTTAAGAAAACACTCATTTTACCAGCTCAAAAATAGCTCTGTTTTCAGCACGCCGTTTCAGTGCACAATCACATGCCTTTAAATGATAATAAGCTTTGGTCACCCCGCCCCTCTGCGTACACAGTTTTTAATAACACAATAACCATAACGCGTTGTTCATTATAAACGTGGGATTATGAATTATATTGAGAACATTGTAACGTTACATAGAATATATGTCGTGTTGGTAGTAAAAAATATTGTGGAGGTAGTAAAAAAGGTAGTAAAAGGTAGTAAATTCATCTCTATGATTCCTGCATAAACCCTGGATGAGAATCAAGCGTTTGCACAGAGCACGTTCGGCTTTTGAGGGAGCTGAATGCATTCATCCTGGAGCATGTGCTGTGAGAAGCTCTACCCTTGCTTGACTCTCTTGAGGGATGGGAGTTGAGAGTCTGCACTTCGTCGTTCGGATCCCATTGCTGCCGAGGGCGGGATTGATCATGGGGAATGTAGGTGGAGCATGGGAAGCAGTCTGACAGGAGACTTTTTTTCTTTTTAGGCTTTTCCTCCTAGCTCTGTTGTTCTCATGTCGGTTCAGGAACCCCCTCTGCGGGTGCTTCTGACCTGGCTGAGAGTATTTTAATGTGGCGTGTCTAGTTATGAGGAATTAGATGCGGAGAGAGAGTTGAGGCAGGTGTTATTAATAATACGCCTCCTCCGCTGCCCCACATATAAGTCTGTGAGCCTTTTATTTCTCCCAGATCTTCTCATTGAGTTGTCGAGATCATGCAGGAATCTGGTTCAGCTTGTATAGTGTGTCCTGTGTAGGTAAACTACAGTATTCACGTGAGGAGGGACTGTGAATTGGTCATTCAGTGGTTGCTATAATTGCTACAGAGAGGCATCTGTGACAAGGAAAATTCTAAAAATGTTCTTATTGATGCTCTGATGTCACACTCTGACCTCTACGGACTGCCGGTGAGGCGGTAGTAGAGAAGTTACAAAGGCGAGGTCTCAGTCAGCAGCTTTCAGGAGATATATCCCTGACTGGGGGTCTGTGAGGGTTGAAGGAGTAGTATTTAGCAGAGAGGGAGGAAACATTATCCCTCTCCCCCCATTCAGTTTACGTTGATTTTGGGGTCTGCCTTCATGGTCCTGCAGGTGTTTTTTTCTATGGAGGAATTAAAGAGGTCTATCTACAGCTTTTTAGGCTTGGAGATTAGAGCGGTGCAGTTTATCTCTGCTCGCTTCTCTTGAAGAACCCTGCTTAATGCTCACATGGGCTTAAGCTCAGAGTATGGACTAACGTTAAGAGCTTGAGTCGTGATGAGATGATGCAATCCACTATCTTATCTGGTACTGAGGGCGGCTGAAGGTGTTGGTCATGGTGAGATAATGCAACCCCTTCACTTTTAAAGGATGCCCTCCCTCCAGCTGGAGGTGTTATGCAGAATGTGGCCGCAAGGAAGAGCAGGCTTGATGGTGTTAGATTTTGCTGTATTTGGCCAAGCAGTGGTTGGGTGGCTCGCCAATGTATTAGATTTCTCCAATACATAAAATAAGTAAGCTTGACCAGAGTTCTTGTGGGGAGAAGAATTTATTGAAGGTTTGTAGTGTAGCAGTCCTTCATCAGCGATGTTAACATGTTGCCCTTCAACAATCTTAACCCAAAGTTCTGTCTGTGAGACAGAACTTTATACATGAAGACAAAAGGGCTACAAACAATAGAAAACTGTTAGGGCAGGGGTGCCCAATCCTGCTCCTGCCGATCGACTGTCCTGCACAGTTCATTTCCAACCCTAATCAAACACACCTGCCTTTAATTTTCAAGTGATCCTGAAGACCTTAATTGGTTGCTTCAGGTGTGTTTGATTAGGGTTGGAGATGAACTGTGCAGGACAGTCGATCGGCAGGAGCAGGATTGGGCACCCCTGTGTTAGGGTCTCCCACAGGAGATCGATCTACCCTGCAATCTACTCTGAGCAATGCTGTTTCTTTGTCATTCACACCAATCAGTTTCTGTGGGCCATGCCCCTGTATGGGCCATTCAATTTCTATAGGCCATACATCTGTATGGGCCATTTGGGTCACACCTTTACAGACACAGATAGAGTTGATTACTTCTGAGGCACAGTAACAATGTAAATGCATCTGACTAAAGTTAACTGAAAATACACATAATCTTTCAATGGGTTTAAAGGGGCACTTGGCAACTCTAGCCTTTTCTTAGCTGATTTTCACTTTTTGTTGTCGCATGTTTTCTCATCGAGCTCCCCCTACAGCTGTGCGGCGTATATTTTCACAACACTGTTATAAAAAAAACTCACTTGCGGCACCTTCCTCCCTCTTTCTACCGCTGCTTATGTGCATTTGTTATTATCGGAGCCGGCCAAGTTTATCGTGTGGAGCCATGTCTACCGAGGTGGGTAATACATCATACACAGTATCATAGAATTATGTCGAATCGCCATAAAGCAGTTTGTGTTTCTCGCTCGTTCTCACTCGTTCTCGCTTCTCACGAGACTTCCTATTTCCAACTTACCGGGACGTTAGTCCCCATGTTGCAAGGTTGGTTTTCCGCCTGGGAACGCTGGGGGGAGCGGGGAAAGTCACCAATCTCTCCAGAACAGGTTATTAAACCATTCAAATGATTTCTAAACGGTTTTATCAAGTTGAAATAGTTGCCAAGTGCCCCTTTAAAAGCCTGTGTTTTTATAACACTTCAATCATCAGTTCCTCCTCCCGTGTATTCAGCTGGGAGGTGTTCGTGTAAATCTGTATCAATCTGTTCATGGGCAGATTGGTACAATGTAGTGGATTTTTTGTAAAAACCCCACCTATCATTGGTAGCCCCCTCTAGAATAGGAGGTGATTTTGCCGTATAGCACACTTCCTTGGTGAACTCGCTGGGATAAAAGCATCTGTTGAGTTGAGCTTGAGTGACTGGGATTTGAAGTAGGGTTGAGCTCCCTAGCAGGGTGAGCATGAGTAGAGCTTGATAGCTGAGATTGAGTATGGAAAATTGCACTTTCTCACTTGTTGTCCTCATCAAATTGTCATATTGGGTTTGAAGCAGGATTATGCTCCTTGTGAATGGGTTGATCCCTGTCCCCAGGCTACTGTAAGGTTACAGTGGGGCTTTGAGTGTTTGTATCACGGTTTGCAAACCATTCTCTATTGCTTCTTCAGCCCATTATTCTTGGAAGCTGAGGAATTCTTTCTTTGCATGCTCCCTTCGGTACACTGCTCCCCTAGGCTTGTTCAGTCCTGGTAGGGTTATGTGTAGAGTTCCTGTGAGCAACACTGTATTTCATCTATCGCCTTGTTCAGCTGCTAGATGTAGTGCTATGGATTTAGCTGAGGTTATGTCTATAGTCTCCCCTGTTAGCTCTGCTCTTAGGGGCTCTGGGCTGTCCTGCAGCTGTGGCTCGGACTGGTTTAATACAAGAGTTCACATTTCAGAAACCGCTGAGCATGGAGGCTTTGGGTTTTTTCCTGGAGTCTATAACACCGAGCTTCTAGGTAGCATGGCTGTGGTGTCACAGGATGTGTCTTATTTGGTTGCCGATGCATTTAGGTCTCTCTGGGTCGAGGCCTATCAAGTACTTCAGTGCTTAAGCCTGACAAGGTTGTGCTTGGTCACCTTCACAGTGCATAGGCAAGCATTGGTCAGCATGGTGTAGTGCAGTGGTCACCAACCTGACACAGGGTCACCACAGTGGTCAACCAACACATTGAGAAGCCAATGCAGTTACAAGTTTTAGTCGCAAGCTCTTTCTAACACTTTTCATTGGTTACATATTTGCAAGACCCATAAGGCTGATATTCCAATAAGCTCAAGTATTTTTCAGTCAAAAAAATTAGCATTATGTCATTGAACCAAAACATTAAAATAAAATAAAAACATTCACAGGTTCTATCACCATTATCTGCAAACCTCTTCGATCATGCTATCGCAGAGAGCGGTACAGCAGCAATGGATGCTATAATGAGTCCCAACCCTCTTGCATTAGCTCAGGTCAGTTACACCTGTTCAAATTCTAAACAAATTCATTTAGAACTTTCTGTAGTAAACATTAAATAAATGTAATGTAAATATCACTTGTTTCTATCTAGGCTGTAGGAAATCTATCTGGCTGTGATATTTCCAGCACAAAGACGATTGTTGACTGTGTGATGCAGCTGACAGAAGAAGACATCTTGACTATCGCTAAGGTCTGTCTGTCCAAATACTGGAATTTCTCATAGAATCTATGTGACCACTCATAAATGTATGCAAACAGTCCACCTATGCACTAAACGGTGTGTTGTCTTTTGAAACAGGAGCATCCAGTGCTTCTTTTTGGAGTGACAGTGGATGGCCATTTCCTTCCAAATCCTGCAGCAGATCTTCTTCAATCCCACCAGTTTAATAAAGTGCCTCTGATCACTGGAATCACTAATGATGAGTGTGGATATATGCTGCCAAGTGTAATGACAGACTTCTTCACTTTTACAATTTGTAAAAAATACAAACATGAGATTTGTTTTTACAAAAATTAGAACTTCAGTCAGTATATTCACATTTAGCAAATGTTTTTCCATAGTTCTTTTCACCTCCAGGATGGACAGATGGGATGGACATAGAGCAGATCGTGCCGTCTTTGACCATGTTTAATCATGCTGTAAGAGAGTTTTATCTTCAATTATATGTACATATATAGTCCACCAAAGCCAAACTATTTCAAAAGTCGTTATAAATAAATTAAATCATAATTGAATAACAACTTTTGAAATAGTTTGGTTTGGTGGGCTAGATCTGTGCCACTGTGAGAGCAAGTGTGGACTTGCTACAGTCAATAGATGTTGGCAGGTGGAGCTGGTGGAGGATTTTAGAGGAACTCTGATAGTAAGCTGCAAGACTAGCCTATATGGTTTGTAATTTAAAAATGCTTTTTAAAAATATATATTTTTAAAAAATAATATTTCTGGTCTATTTGTATCCCCTTTAGCTTCAAGATCAGGCAATTCTTGAGCTTGTTTTAAATGAGTATCTGGGCACATCCACTGACCGGATCAAAATCCGAGATGGTTTTCGAGAGCTGTTAGGAGACTTTATGTTTAACATCCCAGCTCGCAAAGTAGCGAATTTCCACAGAGGTGAGTTTTTTTGGGGTTTTTTCAATGTGAACTGTAGAAGTATGACTGTGTTCAATTTGTAGAATGCTGTTTCAGTGATGCACTACAATAATTATCAATTTCGTCTAATTCTAGATGCTGGTGCACCAGTATATGTGTATGAATTCCAGCATCCTCCCAGTATACTTCAAAAGAAAAGACCTAGTTTTGTTGGAAGTGACCATGGAGATGAAATTGTATTTGTTTTTGGTTTTTGCTTTGCAGATGGACATATAAAGCTGGAAGGTACAACCCCAATAATATTAGGAAATATAACAAACAGATTTAGTGTTTTAGAAGTATGGTCACATTAGCGAACTTTAACAAGATTTCTCAGAAAAATGGTCCATTGTATCTTGTCAGCAGTGTAGCGTTGTATGAAGCACAGCTCACAGAGAAATCACTTTCAGACCAAGCAGCTTTCTGTTGGTCAACACAGTGAATTTGCTTTAACACGTTGTGAAATCTGCTTGGCGAAATCTTTCGGTCACACACGAAATATCCAGTCATGTGTATTACTATTTAAATGACTGGATTTTTTCGACTGTGAAAATGTGCAGAAAAACGTTAAATGTGACCATACCTTAAGATCTCAAACTTTAGTCTCATTGATATAATTAACCACAACAGTTGTCAAAGTAAGGATTTTATAGGTAGTGACAATTAATACAGTGTTGTTTTTCCTATTTGACATCTTTCTTTCTGTTTTAATTCAGATAAACTCTCAAAAGAAGAAAATGAACTTTGTAGATCTGTCATGGATTACTGGGGCAACTTTGCTCGCACTGGGTGAGTGAGACAAATCTCATGTCCTAAATTTTGCAGAGTTAGACGTGTTCCTGGGTCAACATATTGTGTTGATACTGGAACAACATTATTGTCTGAAAATGTAATCTAACCCTACCCATAAATTATCCCTAAAATCAGAGGGAAATGATACGTGAATAACACTGATGTAGAAGCAGTGAAGCACCTAACCCTGGTTGTAAGCATAAACTTGACATAAACTGTAAACTTGTCCCTCAAATCTGATTAGTTGATTGGAATGTTGTTCCAGGATCAACAAAGATGTTGCACTTGGTAAAATCAGGTTCTGCAGACAAGTCCAGTTGAACATTTTCAGGGTGGTAGACGGATATCAAAAATAAAAAGCTTTGATTAAAGGATGAAATTCTTGAAAACATTACCAAGTAGTTTGAGGAAGGATGTCTTTGAGGAAGTTTGTTCAAATATTATAAATATTTGAAACAATTAAAATGTCTGCCAAATTAAATCTTGTGGTGCAACCAACATGCAGAAACATACACTTAAAACAGGAAGTGATATCATAGTGAATACCCCTGCCGTCCTTTTGAGTCAATCAGTTAAAGTGTAAATTGCAGGTTAACCACCACAACCAATTAATATGTAAATTAAAGTGCTCAATGTGTATGTAAAAATTTCTGTCTTAAAATGCGTTAAAATAACATTTATTGGGGTTTCTTCAAAGGTAGCATGTTTTTTACCGTAACTGGGTGATGACGTCATAAGAGGGAGCGCGGGCGGTAATGCACTCACTCTGTGTGTGCCGGTTGAGGGAGAATAAAACGATTCGCGGGACTCCCTCAAACTAGAAATATCTATGAATAAAACATAAAAACGAATGCATTTTTATTCATCTGTTGCAGAAAAGCAATAAGAACTAAAACAAAATAGAAACGGTTTACAGGCAGAGTTTATATTTCTAACATATCTGCAGCGATGAGCGATGTAGCCAATCACAGACATATGTGTTGATTTCTTGAACGCAATAATGGCCAATCAGAAGCATTTACGATAGACTCCCCTCACCGCTCAAAACGGACTTTTTGTTCAGTGCTAAATTCTGTATGCTGGCAAATCTTCTAATTATAACAAACATAGTGTATATATTATGAAAGATTCATTGATAATAACAGAGATGTGTGAGATCGCAATGAACTGATGTCATCTTTTTAGGAATTATCATGGAAGCGCACTTTGCGCGCAGTCATGCCAGACCATGCACGCAGTAGCCCGCTTGCTTTTATGTTATAACAGTGATCAGGAGCATGTATTCTGATGTGTATGGTGGCGACACGTAGGCTAACTTGAAAGTATTTGGAGTTACAGAAAAAAAGTCTTTTTGCGGGTGGGAGCGGGACAAAACATAAATGTTGCGGGCGGGAGAAAGTAATATAGAAAGTAGTTGAGAACGTCAGTTATTATGACCCACGTATTGTAAAATAAATAAATAAATAAGTTTACAGTAGGTTTCATTTGTTAACATCAGTTAATGCATGATTTCCATTACACGAGAGTAGATGTTAAAACTTCATGCTGATTTGTACTCGGCTTTCGCCAAGATAAGCAACACTAAGACGTAGCTTTACAGTAAACTATGCTTCTCCATCCATTTACGCTTCTTTCCATATGGTGGTTTGACTCCCCTTCTGTCCGGCGTTAACGACTGCAGTGTACTTGGCGCGTCAGCACACACGACGGCTGCAACTACAGTGTGGTCTCCCTAGTGGACCAGCACGACAACCGTCTGGATTGAGCCGAGTAGGGGACATCTCTAGGGTCTTCAAGTGGGCACCTTTCGTCCTCAGTGTTTCGTCGACTAGCCCATGACACCTCAAGAGGGCTCGACAGTGACTCTGGCGTCCCAGAGTCACCCCCCTCCGTCCCCCACTCAACTCAGCCCAGCTTACTGACCTCTACATCCCTCCTGCTGCTGAGACCTAACCACAATCTCACAATCTCTCCGCAACCCGACCATACGCGCCAACCCATTTGACTAACGCCGGCTTCACACTGGCAGTTGAAATCAGCTCCGATACGGCTCCGAAACGACCGGAAGTCATTCATTTCCTATGGAGATTCGCAGACCGCATCCGAAACGGGTCCGACCGAGTGCGGTGCGAAGAAAATCGTGTCCGTTGGTCATCCGGATGCGTTCAAAAAATTGAACTCTTGCGAAAAGCTACGGACGGTTCCTATCCGACAATTCCAGCGGAAATTAGCGTTGCTTTGATACTGATAAACAAACCCGAATTCTTATCGTTATAAAATCATTATTTATTTTATTAAGTTAAGTTGTTGTCATGTCATTTTTTTATTTTCATGATTTGCTAACGTTATTAGGGCAGTTAATACAATTAAATTGTAGGCAGACATCGAACTAAATGTGATATAGTGGTATAAATTATATTGCGTATTATGGAGCTGATTTCAACTGCCAGTGTGAAGGCGGCGTAAGGCTGTCGAGCCCCACTGGTGCGTTAATGCAGTTTCAGTGGCAACGGTTCCGTATGGCATACCACCTACCGCAAAACACAATATCTGCCCAACCACCCGTCATTCACGCAATATACACAGGAACGTAGGAACCGTTTGACTAAGGCTGTCGAGCCCCACTGGTGCATTAATATGCAGTTTGAGTGGCAACGGTTCCGTATGGCATACCACCTACCGCAAAACACAATATCTGCCCAACCACCCGTCATTCACGCAATATACACAGGAACGTAATGACTGTAAATACTATACAACCTATACAAATAAACCAACAGACTCTTCAAGTTTTTCAAGAATTCTTCTAAACCGCGTGGCGGCCTGTACACAGCCAGCTAGAATCTTTCTGTCTCAACCACAGCCAGTTGCTGCACCTTTCTGCTGCTTCAGATAAGTTCTTTACTGTGCGACGCAACTCTTGGCCGCTGAATTTCGACGTCTCTGAGGAACCGGGTTGTAGAGTGTGCCACAAAACCTTGACAACCCACTTCCACTGGATAAACCTGGACTCTCCATCCTCGCTGTTCTGCTTCAGTGGCCAGATGAGCATACCGCAGTTTCTTCCTCTCATATGCCTCATCTACCGCATCCTCCCATGGCACTGTTAACTCTATCAGTTGAACAATGCGTGCTGATCCAGACCACAAAACAATATCTGGTCGTAGGTTAGTGGTGGCAATCTCAGGTGGAAAAATAAGCCGTTGATCAAGATCAGCCAGCATCTTCCAGTCCCTAGCAGCTTCCAGTTGTCCTGGGCGAGAATTGGTCTTAGCACCTTTTCTTGGTGGTTGCTCGCCTGGGCGGAGAAATATTGTCTTCTGCGTGTAATGTTTTGCTAGAACAGGCGGCAACTTATTGGTCATACTACGCTTGCCTTCCAATGCTAAAGCCAAACATCGCAATACTTGGTCATGGCGCCAAGTAAACCGACCTTGCCTAAGAGCCACCTTACATCCTGTCAAAATGTGCCTTAATGTGGCAGGTGATGAACACAAAGGACAAGAGGGATCCTCTCCTACCCAGAGGTTTAGGTTCTGCGGTGATGGGAGAACATCATATGTTGACCTAATAAGGAAACTGATCCAACTCTCTTCCATTGACCCAAGCTCTTGCCAGCCCATCTTGCGTTGTTCCACACTCTCCCATCTCATCCACTCTCCCTGCTTGGCCTGTGAAATGGCCTTTATACACCTCATCCTCTCCTCCTGCTTTCGCACCTCGTTGACTACCAGCTTCCTCCTTTGAGCTGGGCCTGCCTTGTGCCATTTAGGAGGAGCTAAACTGAGCCCAAAACCCCCTCTTCCATGCTGTTAAGGTCAGCCTTTGCCTCTACTACAGCTTTCTTGGGGCTGTCTCCCTTAAACAATTGTCGCGTGACTCTACTAAGGTAATTTCCAGTCTGACCTTGGCACACTTAACCTCCTCGGTTAAAGCAGAGACTGGCAGCTGCAATATTCCTTTACTATAAAGTCCCACTCTGCTGAGGCAGCGTGGAACTCCCAACCATTTCCTGATGTATGAACTTATTAACGCTTCCAGCTTATCCACTGTTGTCAAAGAAACCTCGTACACAGTCAGTGGCCACAGCAACCTCGGCAGTAGACCAAACTGAAAGCACCAGTGCCCGGTTGCATAAAGCACCTTAAGTGTAATTTTCCCTTAAAGTCGCCCTTATGTTTCCATTAAACCTAAGGGTGTTGCAGAAAAATACCCTTAAGTGTTACTTAACGTTTTTTTTTAAGTGAAACGTCATAAACACTTAGAATTTCCCTTAAATGCTGTTTTTTCACTTAAAGGAGCTGTATGTAAGAAATTTATTTCAATTAATCATAAAATGGCCCTGAAATGTCACTAGACATTAAGAAATCATGTACATTTCAAATACTTATATCACTGACAACAGTAGTCTGGCCAGGATATTGTCATTTAAAAAGTGCAGTTGCAGCCCTCAACTGATGTTGATGTTGTCATGTTGTGTTTTGGTCTGATGCTCCACCCTCCACCTATCTACCAATCAGGAAGACAGTAGTGTTGCGGCATCCAGGTTGCCAGCTCTGCTCTAGTTACCACAGCTGCAGCTCGTCACGTTCCTGCAGGCCCGTCGGAACAGGACAGGCAAACCAAGCAATTGCTTGGGGCCCCGAGCTGGACTGGGGCCCCAAGACAACGACTGTTTAAGAATAAAATGCAACGACAAACTGTGAGCGCCCCTTTGATAGTCAATGCAGTAAAGTGCAATGACACTGTTATCGGAATCCCCCTCAAGGGGGCCCCCTCAGTAGTCGCTGACAGCAGCCAGCCAACCACGCGATCTCTGCTGCCGGCAAAATACAAACCTCCTCGGGAGTTATCATGAAGCGGAATTATGCCTCAGGAAGCCAGAAAAGAAAGAAGAGAAGGTTAAGAAAAATACCAGATAGTGGTAAAGTAATAAATTACACTGCATAAAAATAGCTCTACTTGTCTTGTACAAATGGTGTAATTTTGTAGCAGGTAACATAAGGCTAGCAAAAGTATGTTTGTTAGCTACCTACCTGACGGCAAATGCTGCTTGTAACGAACAGTTTGTGCACATTTTTTTTCGAACGGACGGAATATGGTTAACGTTACATACTGTAATATGTTTTTTAACGGTTTAAGGAGTTCCAGAATCACTATTTATCGTATGTAATGACATGACATTGCTATAGCTAATAGGTTTTGATGAAAGTGGCATAGCATAACTATTCCACCGTGATAATCTATTTACCAATGGGGGTTAGGAAAACCACACAATAAATTCCGTGCATCAAACATTAGCTTGGGATGTTTTTAAGCATTGGTAGTGAAAGCAGCATCCCTTCCCTTCTAATATCAAAATATGGAAATGCTAACATATCTTTAAGTTTTCTGTAACACTTTATAATAACAATCATTAATAGATGGTAAATTGTTAGTTATTTAATATTTAGTTAATTGTCATTTAAATGTTAGCAAACAGTCTTTTTACTTAATAAATAATTTGTAACCTTACCCATCTATAAACATTATTTAACCTGAAAAAGGCAGAGGAACATGATTTTTTCATAGCTTATGTCACTATAATTTTTTATTTTTTTATGCACAGTATGCAACAGCAGTATTTACACTGTAAACCTATTTTATTCATATAAAGTGTGTGTAATTTGGGGGGGGGGGGGGCTTGGGGGGCCTCCATGTCCATTTTGCTTGGGGCCCCCAAATTCTTTCAAACGGCCCTGCGTTCCTGCTGGATCCTGCAGCCGATCTGGCAACCTCGAGTCAGGGAGGAGGGGGAGGGGATACACCACTCTACAGTAATTTGAAAGTGATTGCAGTACTAGTTTTGGCCACAATCTTACATACAGCTCCTTTAAGTAATCGTTAAGTGTTGCATAAAACCCCTTAATGGTAATTTCCCTAAGTATAACTTAAGGTTTGGAAATCGTAACCTTAAGAGTAACACGGACAAAAATAAGACGACATGGCTGAATTTATGGAACCAGCTGAAGATCATAGGGAATAGGGAGAACCCTTTGGACCAATTTAGCAATGAAAAATTGTTGCTGGAATACCGATTTGATCGACGCGCAATATTTGACATCGCTATCAAACTAGACGGCTGTCTGTCTGTCATTACACGCGACTCGCATGTAAACTATCACAACGTTAAGTCAGTGCGCGCACGGAGAGTGTGTGGCCGACCCGTGCAGAAAAAAATTCACAGGAGAACGAGATGATTCTGTGTTTTAAAAGGAATCATGACAGAAGAAAACAGGTATGCTATGGAAATATGCTCAGCTGTATTTCGAGACACAGAGCCAGAAGTGCGTTCACAAAACCTAAACAAATGCCAAAGCATGAGACGGTGAACAACACAAACTGCCGCCACGTTCGGAGCTAACGCGGTGTTGCGTGATAGCGTCACTGGACTGACACGTGATATTCCAACATGTTAGTGTTTTGCGTATATACGGCAACAACAGACTTTTATAACGTGAATCCAGGATCGCTGCCGTGAAACACTTAAATGTTTCCCTTACCTAAGAGAACCGTTTAAGAGATTTTATGCAACACCCTAAAGTTGTTCTCTTAGGTAAGGGTAAATCGCCCCTTAAGTATCATACTTAAGGGAAAAACTTAAGGTGCTTTATGCAACCGGGCACTGAGTTTTAGTTTGCCTGGTAGAGCACAGCTGTTAATGCTCCTTAACCCTTCCACTGCTTGTCGTCTAACTTCTCCCACTCGAACTGTGTCCTTTAGATCCCCATCTTACTATCTCCCAAGACTCGATAGTTAATACGATACAATATATCATGATATATTGCGATATGATACATATTGCGAATTTACGATATATTGCAAACTTAAACAAAATCTAAATTGTAAAAAATAATACAGTGGAAAATACAACTTGCTGTGTACCAGCTGAGGTATTCTGTTATGTGTATCACATTATATTGATAACTCAGCAGAAAAATAAAAACTTCCATTCCAATTTATTAGCAAAGTTATTTGCATTGCAGTGTCACTGAACAGTGAACACACTGAAATATTTGAAGTGCATATTGTGTCACTGAACACTTTTAACTAAAAATGAAGATGTCACAAAATTTATAAAACTGAATTTTCTTCTGTTGAAAAGAAAAGTTATTGTGACAAATGTGGGTAACCAAACAGTTGCTTGTCCCCTATGACTTCCATAGTATATATTTTCAGCAGCTGTCTGGTTAGCCACATTCCTCAAAATGTCTTCTTTTGTGTTCCGCACAAGAAAGAAATTAATACAGGTTTGGAACAACATTAGAGGGTAAATAAGAACAGAATTTTTGGTTGAACTATCCCTTTAAGGACAAGCGGCAGCATGTTTACTGTCATTTTAAGACCGGCACGCATCTAATATACATGCATATGACGCAACTGATTTTCTCTCAAATGTTTGCTTTCACAGACATAACCAACTGTGTTTATGTAAACCTTGTGAGTGATACATTATTAGCGCAATAAGACTCGAAAGATAACTTAGTCCAGTAACCAGGCGCTGTTTGGGTTTTAGTGCCAGCTAGTGCGCTTTGGGTGTTTGCGCTCAGGAAAGCGCATGTTAGAACAGCACGCGAATGAAACGTTTAACCGGCAAGGCTTTGAAGCACATGCAAATAATGGACTTTTGTCAATTGCAGTGTCCCGTGAGTGTAATTCCTCTTCCTTAACATGTGATATGTGAATGTACGTCGCGTTGTTGAGACGGAGGCGCAAGAACTGCAACTGATAGAATGCACTGTAACACAATACTACGATGATTCGTGGAGGCATTTTAATCTTCCACGATCAAAAATGGTGATATCGCACCCCCTAAACCAAAGTGCACCGGCACCCACATGTCGGGTCTGCGAGCTGGAGGCGCTCATATTTTATTTTTAATTTTTTAAAACTATATTAAACAAATATGTATAGAATGCATTTCTAAGAGTTCGGCACATGCATTTTAAACTATATTTTAAAAACCTTTTTCAGGTCTCCGAATGGTCCGGGCCTCACATCGTGGCCTGCATTTGGAGCTGAGGCTGAGTATCTCAGCATTGGACTGGAACAGAAACCTGGAAAGGACCTGAAGGGAAAACACTTTAATTTCATGACTCAAACCCTTCCACAATTGATAAATAAGCGAAAGGAAGGCAAGTTATCAGAGTCAGCATCGTTTCAAAATTGGCTAAGGCTCACTGTATAATATTAAGAATGGTTGCACATTTGTTTTTGACAGGACCTGTAGCACATACAAAACTAGGATCTCTAAGAGGCTCCTTCATGACTGCGAAGGGCAAGGAAACTGTTGTCAATAGCTATCTAGGTGTACCGTTTGCAAAGCCACCCGTGGGCCCCCTGAGACTGGCTCCACCACTACCTGCAGAACCATGGCAAGGAGTGAGAGATGCAACCAAACAGCCACCAATGTGAGATGCCACACAGCTGTATTTCAATTCAAATGTGTTTAGACATTTCCAGTATCTAATGTACCGTGGTTTCTTTAGGTGCATTCAGGACAGGCAAGCGAGTGTCGTTGAGATGGAGTTTCTCTCTATGGATGTGGAGATTCCTGAGGTCTCGGAGGACTGCTTGTATCTCAACATCTACACTCCAGTCAAACCTGGTGAAGAAGACGCCAAGTTGCCAGTAAGTTCAACAAGAGCGTTTTGTGACTGAACGTACTCGTAGAAATTGGGTCGAGAATGTTTCCATGTGTTTTCTAGGTCATGGTTTGGATTCACGGTGGAGGACTTTCTCTTGGTTCAGCTTCCGTGTACGATGGCTCCGTTCTGTCAGCGTATCAGGATGTGGTCGTGGTGCTGATTCAGTACAGATTGGGACTGCTGGGATTCTTAAGGTTGGTGCCATACATTATTTCTCAGCTGCAGTTTCCCTGGATCATGTGAAATGTATTAATATGAGGTGCAAATATTTGCTCTGACAGCAATTTGATTCAAGTGTGATTCTTAAATAAATGATGCAGTGCATAATGAAATCTGATACAATTCATAATATTTTCATGAACTTTTTATTATTATTATTATTATTATTATGGCAGTTCAAGCATAAAACCTCTCACTCATGAGTCTCATGTTACACACAGTTACATTGTTATTACATCAGATGCTTTATAATTATTCAAATAAATAATCATAAAAATAAATCTGTATTAATTAATTATTTAACAAACTATTAAAAATAAGATGGAAATATAACTGGATTAAAAATCCACAGTAGAAGATTGGAATTTTGATTTAATGGATTTTTACTACAAGTAGGTACAAACTTAGTCTGTAATTTTCTGTAAAGTTAATCAAATCTGGATTAAATTTCCATAGTCATAGATTTTTTTAATGCTTTTTTAAATTTCAATAGCCGTAATATTGTTAAATTTCTTTTTGTAAATAATTTGTCATTTTCAAATGTGTAGGTTGACTACAAAAAAAGAAACTTCTTTTTTGTAAAGAAACAAAAGTTATAGGTATTAGTAATTTTTTTTTTTTTTTTTTTTTAATCAACTAATCACATCAATACATTAGGGCTACCAAAGTTAATTTGTTAAATTTAAGGATGAATTAAATGTTTAATGGCATTAAACTATTGCAATTAATGCTTGTAACGTGGCATTAAAATTGATTTATGCTTTTTGTGCAATGTACGTATTAGTGATGCTCTGAAATTTCTGAAACTGAAAAGATTTGGCCAAAATCATTGACAATTGCCCTATTATGTGAATACATTTTTCTGTATTTCATTCTTTTGGCAGCACAGGAGATGAACATGCGCCAGGAAACTATGGTCTTCTGGACCAGGTGGCTGCGCTTCAGTGGGTCCAGGAGAACATCCACAGTTTCGGGGGAGATCCTGGATCAGTGACCATCTTTGGAGAGTCTGCTGGAGGAGTCAGTGTATCCACGCTGGTGTGCATCTTTATTTAGTAACTGTAGAAACCATAATTCAGCTGTAATGATTGTATAGAATGATGGAGTCACTTTCTGTGTCATTATGTCTTTAAGATTCTTTCACCATTGGCTTCTGGTCTGTTTCATCGAGCCATTGCAGAAAGCGGGACTGCCTTTTGGCATGGTTTAGTGATGGCTAATCCTTTGCTGATAGCCCAGGTATCATTTCCTTTCATAACCTTCTTATATATTCATCATTTTGTTATTTAAGGGTGTATTCACACGTGCCTTGTTTGGTTCGATTGAATCGAACTCTAGTTCGTTTTCCCCCTTGGTGCGGACCTTTTGGGCAGGTGTGAATACAGCAATCGAACTCGGGTGCGGACCAAACAACCGAACCGAGACCCAGCTGAAGAGGTGGTCTCGGTACGGTTCCAAACGAACTCTGGTACGGTTCGTTTGCGGTGTGAACATGAACCGACCCAATTGCAAGAAAGCACTGCGCCTTTGAGTTAACAGGCTTCCGTAGTCGGAGATTTTGGCATAATGGTTTGTGTTATTGTTGTTCAAGTGCGAAAGAGAATTCCATTCCGGCGCGCTGTCTGGCCACACGATACTGTTGCGCGTCTTTCTGCGCGTCGTGTGTGTACGTCATTGGAATGGAATGAATGAATGAGTGTGTGCATCAGGACATTCACATACAGAGCGTTCTCTTTAGTCTAATCGCGCATAGATGCAAAAAAACCTTTTGCAGTTCATAACGATAGTTACAATACAAGGATGATCCTGCGTTAAACTGGACAAACTTAAATCGCAAGCGTTAACATTGACACCACTTGTTAGCAGTAGCCTATATACAATAAGAATCTCATTATTTGAATGTGTGAACATAGCCCCTCTCTATGAATCAAAACTTTATACCTTATCCGTCTTCTGCGCAGTTTCTTCATATTGCGTTTGTACAGAATAACACAAAATTAGTAAAACAACAAATATTGCAGTACGAAATATCTCCATGCTGAGCCTTTTTTGCACTTCCTGATTTCCCTACTTGAGAATCCTTGTCCAATGAATGGACGACCTTAGCACATGTGTGGTTTTGTTGACAAATTTTGGTTCACTTGCAAAAAGAGCAGTGTGAAAGCGAACCGTACAAAAAAAAAAAAAAAAAAAAAAAAAATGTATTTGGTCCGGACCAAAGCAAGTGAACTATCGGACTTTCCTGGTGTGAATACACCCAGGGCCGGATTAAGAGTTCAGAGGGCCCTGGGCACAATGTCTTGTAGGCCCCCCCCTTAGGCAAGCCAAATGTATATTTTGTCCAAGGACATTTTAATATTGCATTTACAGTTTTACTGACTTAAAAGGAACTTTGTTGTACTATGCTGGATTAAAGTTCATAAATGGTCGTTCTTTCCCATAGGAATTTGTAAAACTATGTTCGGTGGACCTCTGTGCCTCTAGGGGGGTTCGGGGGCATGCTCCCCCGCAAGAAAATTTTGTACATTTTAAGGTTAAATGCATCAATCTCGTGCTCTTTGAGAGATCAAAATTAAGAGCTTCAACCCATGAACTGCTTGTTGAACAAAGAAAAAGCATTGATTTGTACCAGGACATTTTGCACCTCAAACATCTTTTTAGTTATGATATATAGAGTCTTAAGTCTACATTACATCATCACTGGTGTTTTAGGATGCCAAACAATTATTATAATAATGTAATAATGATTTATATAATTATTCCTATGACGTAAAATCCATATAGCCTATAAAATGTACTATATAAATGAAAATGAATATTTCAAAAGTATATTTTAGGCTACATTACACTATAATACAGGAAAATTGAAATACTTTTGTCCTATTTTCTTCACTTGCAAGAAATAAACCATTGAGCTTTTATTTAGGAGAAAACACCAGATAACCATGCTGATCGCGTGAGCAAAGAGCGCACTTTTCTTTAAATCACCCAGCACACACAGCATGCCTATTCTTAAAGCCTTGTGCTGTTTTATAAAGACACAAAGCCATATCATGGTTTCGATTTTAGTTCGTTGGCAAAATATAACGCTTGAGACCTTTATGTTAGGTTATACATTTTACATCTCATATGTGTTGGGAAAAGGGAGAGAGAGAGTTCGGCAAAAGGCGGATTCGAACTCGGGTCGAGCGCATCAAAAGTTGCTTTTGGGCACTTCACGCACTTACGACCTACGCCACTGCAGCTATTCCGTGACAGGCGTCTTTTTGGTAAAAAGACAGGCACTTAGTGCAAATATACGCTCCGTTCTCTAAAGTACATTTTATCAGACCGGCCCTCGCGGCCTCGAAACACTACCGGCCCACCGGGGAAACTCCCGACTCTCCCGATTGCCACTCCGCCCCTGGTGCCCAGGGCCCCTTAGATGTCGTGGGCCCCTGGGCAAGTGCCCAGTTGCCCTAATGGTTAATCCGGCCCTGAATACACCCTAAGTCTTCTTAAGTCCTCATGTTGATGATCATTGCAGAATGCAGCCAAATCTTGCAACTGTGACAGTAGCAGTTCATCAAAGATCGTTGACTGCATCATGGGCTGGTCTGATGAGGAGGTTCTGGAATATTCCAAAAAGGTGTGAGATTTTTCATAAATTTTCATAATAATTACCCCATGATTTACTCACCCTCAAGCCATCCTAGGTGTGTATGACATTCTTCTTTCAGACTAATACAATTGGAGTTATATTAAAGTGCCCCTATTATGCTAGTTTAAAGTTTCCTAATGTTGTTTTGGAGTCTCCTACAACAGGTTTACATGCATCAAAGGTCAAAAAACATTTTCTCATAATATACATTTGCACATCACCACATTTTTCAATGATTCTCAAACGACTCGTCAGATGAACCAGTCTCTCTAAATCCCTCTTTCCGCGAGCTACTCTGCTCTGATTGGCCAGACAGCTCAGTCTGTTGTGATTGGTGTCGAAAACAAAAACGCCCATTGCCATAACAATTCACTGCCATTATAACGCTTGGAAGAGCCAGGACATTTTTTAATATAACTCTGATTGTATTCAGAAGAATGTCATATACACCTAGGATGGCTTGAGGGCGAGTAAAATCATGGGCTAATTTTCATTTTTCGGTGAACTATCCCTTTAAGAAAAATGTTTCTGAAATCATACGGTGTAAAGCAGAAAGATCCCTTGTGAAAAAGTTAGTCATTTATGACAATTCATATATGTTTTCAGACACTTAATTGCATGTTATTTACCATTAAATAAAAAAAAAAGTATTATAGTTTAAATTTATATTTAATGCCGTTTGTTGAACTAAAGAGTGCTTTAGTTTAAATACATCTTTATATCTAATTCTATTGACTTTGAAATATGGTTTGAAGTGTACTGCCAAATGTACTGACAAGCAATTATGATGAACTGAAATTTATACTCAAACTATAAAACTGAAACTGTGTTCTTCATAGTTCGCGATGATGCACTTCAGTGTTGCTGTGGATTCTCATTTCCTTCCCGAGCCTGTAGAGGAGATCATTCGGAAACAAGAGTTCAGTAAAGTTCCTCTCATCACTGGTATTACTGATGATGAGTTTGGCTATTTACTGCCCACAGTGAGTAAATATTACATTTATTATTATATTCAATGTCACACTCCAAACAGCTATTATTTCAATAAAGAAAGCAACAGAACATGCATTAGTATCCACAGGATAGTAGTATTATTTTTTTTTTGTATTTTGTTTCTTTCACCTGGTTTGTTTTGACTTTAATTTTTTTACATCAAAAATGAAACAAAAAATGTTATTCAAAGGCTGAAATTCTTAAATAGTTTTAGACAGTAGTTTTAGACATGGATAGTTCAGGTTACATCAATTGGAATAAATTAATAAATGTTGATAAATGCCTTTTTTTAAACCCTAAAGTTCCCCTATTATGCTACTGTATTTTTGTTGTAAAGAAATAGAACATTCATTCACAAATTCAAGCTAATAAAAGGTATCAACTGTATGGAGTCAACACACAAACAAAGATCTCAGATGCATTTTTAATATATTCATATTTTAGGTTTTATTTTCTAAATTTGAATGTTATTTCTCCTTAGTATTTTTTCGGTCCTGGATGGATTGATGGGATGGATCAAGAGCAAGCCACAAAAGCCTTGACCCTGACTTATCCTGACGTAAGATGCTGATTTACATTATGTAATATATTATCTTTCAGTTAATAGTTCAAATCTTTCTTCACTTTTCTTTCTTTGAATTCTGTGCTTTGAACTCAATTCCCTTCAGCCCAGGGATCGGTGGATCATTGACCTGGTGGCAAATGAGTACCTGGGCGACACAAAGGACCCCATTCAAATCAGAGACATTTATAGAGAGATGATGGGGGATGTGATTTTTAATATCCCCACCCTCCAACTGGCAAAATACCACAGCGGTGAGACGCAATAATTTACTAATTAATTCATATTTAAACACTGTGTATAGTTAAAGGGTTTCATCATATTTGCAGAGTCATTTAACTCTTTTCCTCCCAGCGTTGGTTTTAGTTATTTTAGTTGCCAGCCACCACCAGCATTTTTGATCATTTTCACAAAATTTCATGGCCCCCAGAATATTTAGTTGTATGAATATTTGACATGAAATAGGTCCACAAAAAAAGCCTCTGCTTTAAAAAACAAATTCTAGCTTTATGCATTGTTTTTATCAACACTTGAATGTGGTTAAATTTCATACAAAAAGCAACATTTTGAACAAACAGCTGAAAAAAATTTAAAAATCGCATTTTTGTCAAAGTCTATGTCCAGATCAGATTCAGAACGATGATCAAAACATCAACATTTCATTCAGTACCTTTAGGCAGTTTTGATTTATATGCAGTTTAATGTTTGATGATCGCGTTATTTTTAAATGTGCATAAGAAATTTTCTGTCACTTGTTTCTGCTGCTGCTTCGCCTGTGTTTTGATCAGGAGATTCTGTTCTCTTTCAGAAGATGTCATAGCGACCGTATAACAGTGAAAACACAGAAAGCTGGAAATTGCGGTCAATGGTGGGAAAGTGTTGTGTCATAAATGACGGAAAATTCCGTCAGGGAACTGAGCTGAAGGAGTAAAAGAAACCTTTTCTCTTATTCCTATTATAACAACTAATATGTGTTTGCAAGCAATGATTTTTGTTATTCAAATATGAATATTCAAAAAATGTCATTCAGACCGTGTATACTTGTCTGATTGTTTATTGAAACTGCATTTCATTTTGAGAAATTAAATGAAATATGTGTCTGGCTTTATATGCCTGTATGAAATACTATGAGGGCACGCGCCGAGTGCTTCTTGCCCTTTCTAAAATAACGGTCCTTAGATCCGTTTTACCATAAGCAGGCCAAGCAGCCCTGACGCCAGTGTTGTCAGGCTTCTGAGGGTACACCTTTCCGAGACGTTTCCCACCTCATACACGGTACACTATCTCTGTAAAGCTGCTTTGAAACAATCTCCATTGTTAAAAGCGCTATATAAATGAAGATGACTTGACACGGTGCCCGTCTCCCCTCGGTGCCCTCAGCGGGCTGTTCTGTTAACCCCGCCACCTCGTGTGCTTCGGGGCGCAGTGGTCTCCGGGATAGCGGCACTGGGATGCTCAACCCCATTGAGGAGGGTCTCAGAGCAATCAGTACGGCTGTTGCGCCACTTCAGGGCACCTAATTGGTCGCTTGAGTAATACCAGAGAGGCGGGTTCTCTTAGCCTCCGAGGGGAAGTGGTTAACACCTCACTATACGGTGCCCATTCCCCTTCGGTGCCCTCAGGGGGCCGTTCTGCCAACCCCGCCACCTCAGGTGCTTCGGGGCGCAGCGGTCCCCAGCAATCCTCTGAGGAGGATCGAAGAACTGCCAGTTCGCCGCTTCAGGGCACTGAAATGGCTGTTCGACCAGTACCAGAGGCCAGTCTCGAAAAGCTGGTTGCCTTAGTAGATTTTATGACAGCGTGGAAGCTACTGCCAAATATCTCATTGGGTCCTGCTCACGGTAGAAAAGGGTTACAGAATTCAGTTCGGTTCTCGTCCACCCAGGTTTCTAGGGGGCTCTGGTTATGGAGCAAGAAGTACAGACTCTTCTACGAAAGGAGGCTATAGAACGGGTTCCTCCTCCCAGCATGGAGTCTGGGTTTTAGAGCCGGTACTTCATTGTCCCAAGGAAGGATGGAGGGGTTACGTCCAATTTTTAGATTTGCGCTGCAGAGCAGCTCAAATTCAAGATGCTTAAGCAAATCTCAAGCAAATCGTGTCACAAATCAGGTTTGTTACGATAGATCTAAAGGACGCATACTTCCACATATCCATCCTTCCACAAAACAGGAACTTCCTGAGGTTCGCTTTCGGGGGCGAAGCGTACCAATCATCGGAAATGGGGTAAAACTAGGCCAGTCACTCATTGTCAAACAGTTTCAGAGACTGTTGGGTCTTATGGCAGCTGCGTCCAACATAACTTCTGGCATGGAAATGATGGTGGTGTTTCGAGCACTCGAACACTTCCTCCCAGACCTGAGGGGCCATCATGTGCTTCTCTGCATAGACAACACTGCGGTGGTCTCTTCTATCAACCATCAGGGGGTCTGACTGAGTCTGCGGTCGCGACACCTATGCAAACTGGCACACCAGATCGTCTTGTGGGCCCAGGGGAAACTACTTTCTCTGAGAGCAGTCTATATCCCTGGGCATCAAAACCAGGGAACAGACATCCTTACGAGGCAGGGGCTGAGGCCCGGGGAATGGAGACTCCACCCCGAGGTGGTGGAGCTCCTGTGGGACGAGCAGGAGTAGACCTGTTCGCATCTCTAGAGATGACTCATTGTCTGATGTGGTTCTCCCTTACATATCTAGCTCCCCTAGGGCTGGATGCCATGGTACAGATGTGGCCGAGGCTGCACCTATACGCTTTTCCCCCGATCGCTCTGCTCCCGGGAGTTCTGGAGAGAGTTTGCCGGGACAGGGCCCGTCTTCTGCTAGTAGCCCCGTTCTGGCCGGCCCAGGTATGGTTCTCGGACCTAGAGTCTCTCCCCATCGGCTCTCCTCTGGCGATTCCGCTCAGGAAGGACCTTGTTGATCCTTCACCCCCAGCCCAGAATTGTAGAAACTGTGGGCTCGGCCTCTGAGGGGGCTCAGCTCATAAGTTCAGGGGCCTCATTTATAAAACTTTGCGTAGGATTTGCGTCAGAAGTGGCGTACGGATGAAACATAGGACGTGCGTACGCACAGAAATATTCGGATTTATAAAACCGTGCGCACGCACATCCTACGCATTTTTCCCTTAATAAATCACAATCAATTCTAAATGTAGCGCAGCTTTTGCGGCTTCATGTCACGCCCATAGTTGCCCATAAATAGTCCGTGAAACGCCCACAAGTTAATATTCATCGATTGCGAAATCATGGCAAACATAGAGAGGAAATAAAAAAAACGTAACTTCACTCAATGTGAAGTAGAAGTTATCGTTGGCGAGGTGGAAAAGAGGAGAAAAAATGTTGTTTGGAGGGCACAGTGTGGGCATTAGCCTACTAATGCCAAAAAGGCACTTGAGTGGCAAAAGGTTGCAGACGCCGTAAATGCTGTAGCCTCACAACCTCGGACTGTGGCCGAAATAAAAAAGAAATGACAAGCTACAGATGTCGGTTATAATCTACTTGGAAATGGTAAATAGTTCAGCGCAAATGTAATTTCTTGCAGCTTTCTGAATGGTTGAGACATACGTCATATGTTATTTTATCAAAAATAAAACAAACTAAAGGCATATGCATGAAATACCTGCATGAATACCATGATTCCGTAGCTGATAAAGACATTTTTACTATGAAAACAACTTTCCCCAGTGGACAAATAATACATCTATCTATTTATTGAATTATCTATCTATCTGACTGACTATCTAGCTATATCTAGCTATATCTGCTCCGCCAGACGGACACATTGGCGAGAATATCAGTTTTGTACATCATTTCGTTCTGTTTACCATCTTATTTATGAGGATGAATTGTATAACATGCCAATATTATTGCAGAACATATTTAACTTTTCTTTTTGCAAATATGTGTTAATTTGCATTTCTGTTGCAGATCGATCAAACGGGTGTTCGTGTAGGCTGTTAATTGTAATACTTGCTTTGTGACGTCTTCGTGTTATTTATGAGAGGCAGTATTGCCATTTATTTTACACAACGGTCTACAGTTTCACGTGTTTCTGCCGACGGTGTCGCCATTTCTCATTTCACCCGTTTTTGTGCGTACGCCTGGGTCAGAGCTTGCGTGAAGGACCGCACATTTTACCGTCAAGTTTGCTTTTTATAAATACCAATTATTGCGTAGAGAGCGGCGTACGCCTTCTTTTGTGTGTACGCAACGTTTATAAATGAGGCCCCAGGTCTCTCAACCGAGGTTGTTCCTCCACTCCAGAGCTGTTTGTTTGTTTTGGGTCACCCATAAGGGGGTGCCCATCATCTAAACGGGATCGCAAGTGGGTGGTTGAGGCCATCTCACTTGATTAGGAGTCGGTCGGTCAGCCTTCACCTTTGGCTCCTGTCACTCGACTAGGAGTATGGCTGCTTCTAAAGCATTATCGTCAGGAGTTCCCGCCAATATGTTTGTGATGCGGCGGATTGTTAGCCTCGCCACACACATCCGCAAGGTTTTATGACCTTGACCTCGGCTCCACTCCAGGGGCGCATGTGCTTTCGTCTTAGTGTGCGCAGAGATTTCACATGGACAAGCACTTGTTACTGTGGTGTCGTGGGTATAATTTTCACGCAGCGTCTCATTCCCTTTTCAGGGAACCAGGGTTACAGACGTTTTAAATTAAGTAAAATGAAAATGTTGTTTATTAAATTAAAATTTGAACAAAATTATAAACACTACCGCTCAAAAGTTTAGAATGATTTCTGAAGGATCAGACTAGAGTAAAAAAAAAAAATCAGCATTGATCACAGGAATAAATTACATTTAAAATATATTCAAATAGAAAATAGTTGTTTTAAATTGTAATAATATTTCACAATATTACTGTGGTGATTTGAGACTTTTTTTAAATACATTAAAAAATCTTCAAAACTTTTGACATTTAGTGTGTGAATGTGTGAGCCATTAAAACCTCTATCTTTTCTTTTCATATAATTTTCCCTTTATATAGTTAATTGTTAAATTATGCAAATATTTAAATGAATATATTAAAATACATTTCTTAGTATTATTAATTTGTTTACATTTTTAATTCAATATAATTTAAAAACTTAATTAAGCTGTAATGTTAAACATTTCAGAATGCATTGAAAATATTAAGTTAAAATAAATTAACATTTTAGTTATCCTCATCCATCAAGTTATATTTTATAAAAACATAATTTTGTTAAATTAATATTAAAGTATATTAATAATTAAATATTAAAACAAATGAAAATATTTTTTGTTATATTTATAATATTAAAATATTTATATATACATTTTAAGCCCTCAAGTTAATCATTTCAGAATGCAGCACAATCATTGAACTGAATCAGAGAGAGAGGGAGAACTGGTCTATTGTGCAGGTTTACATGATCCTTTTGCTCCACAAAATCACAGTGAACTACTCTGAGTAAAAATGTGTGTAAAACCAAGGAACCCTGTTGTGATTTGATTTTAGCCTCAGGAGCGCCGGTTTACCTGTACCAGTTCCAGCATCCTCCCAGTATGACCCAGAAGAAAAGACCCAGCTTTGTTGGAGTCGACCATGCGGATGAACTTTTCTTTATTCAGGGAACCTGCTTTGCTAAAGCTCATCTCAAAGCAACCGGTAAGACTCGTGATTGCTAAAACAAATGAACTCTTTACTCTGACATTTGATCTAACGGTTCAATCCCTTTAGCTCCTTTCACAAAGGAAGAGGAAGAGCTATGCAGGACTGTGATGGCCTACTGGGGGAACTTTGCACACACTGGGTAAAACATCCGTCCTGAATTTCCCTCTCTGTGTGTGTAGAAGAACAAAGTATATTGTTTCTGCACTCTAATACGTCTATTTTTCGTCAGGTCTCCGAATGGTCCGGGTCTGACACACTGGCCTGAATATGAGGATGAGGCCGAGTATCTCGGCATTGGACTGGAACAGAAACCCGGCAAGAACCTGAAGGGAAAACACTCTGCGTTCATGACCAAGACGCTTCCAGATCTAATACGACAAGGCCGAGAAAAAAGAGAGCACTTAGAACTATAAAAGAATAAAATCTTGTCAAATGAACACAAAGCACTTAAATGTGTGAATAACACAAATTACTGTGATTTTAAGAATTTAAATGTTAACCTGAGAAAAATCAAATAAGCACCAAGTACATTTTGATCCTAAAGTTTGAATTTGAAAGAAATCATTTGATAAATAACTGTATAACTGACTAAGTCATTTTAACTTTAATCTGTTTTGGACTTCAAAATAAAAGCTGGGACAACATTTAAGATTTTCCTCCATTTTATTGAGAACAAACGAAGGCTAAAGCTGCAAACCTCCCTGAATTTGAATGCAACGAGGTGCAAACTAGTCATGAATTTGCGCTTCGAGACTTAGTTACTGGCAAATTTACATAGACGACAATAATCCAACTATTGACAATATTGCCAAATAAAATAAAAAAATCCATATTACCAGATTAACATCACCAGTATCGGACAATTGACTTGCTAATGAAGCCGTTTTGACACACATAAAATGATCACACTAAAAAAATAAGGAAATTAAAGAACAGCACAAAATGATAAATTACAGCTTTAGGCACAAAGCTTTGCTCAATTATCATTATATATAAATAACAGAGGGAAACCCGGAATTGAAGTCAACATGAAACCCCATTCACAAACCATTTGTGAATCAGGACATTGAACAAGGAAAAAAATGGGAGCAGAACTTGATTTTATCCAATGGGAATTGAGAAATTGAAGTAAATAGGGTGAATTTTGACATATACATGAGCATATTTCCACAAATGCTTTGAAATTTGATTCAAATAGTTAGCAGCCAACATAAGCAGCTTAAATTACATTTTATTTCAAATAAAATTAATAGTTGCAACAGCACAAATGTATAAAATGCACTTTTAGGCAGTGCTTTGTTAAATTGTCATTAAAATTGGGGAAACTGAATTGAAGTCAACATGGCATTCGGATCCAATCTGTGAATCAGGACACTGAATGATGATAATAAACAAAAGGGTCAGAACTAGGGTCGCAAATTTCCGGTAAATTTCCAGAAACTTTTCATGGGAAGAATTTTGGAAATATTTCAAGTTGAAAACTTAATGGGAATTAATTGTAAATTTGGGGTAATGTATACAAACTAGGTACATGTATTCATCCCCAAACCGTACGGTACAGACGTCACAGTTTCGTGCATTCAGTCCCAGGCGATACACACTCCATAAGGAAGGGGGCGCGCGGTTATGCAACGCTGTTTGCTACCAGTAAAAAGCGCAGAAGAAGAGACGATCGATCGATATGTTTACATATCTCTCATAAAACAGCTTGAGAATAATATTTCACGTAGCATGACATTCACCTCAGGCATTTGGTGTCGACAGTTCGCTGGAGAAATGAACTCTACAGAAAAGCATTTCGTATATGCACTATATTAGCCTATTCACTATATTTACTGTTAGTAATGTCTTGATTATTTAATGTATGCTTGAATACATTTTTTTTTAAAGTTATGACAGCCACTGTGTAAATGATCATATTTCAAAGTTAAATTAACTTTTTAATTAGATTTATAAGTTAATGCAAAACCTGCCTTGTGTGCAGTTTACGAAGGTTTTTTTGAGCATTGATTATTATATCTAAAAAATAAATAGCAACTGAATTTAGTAATTTGGGCTCTGTTGTTAATTGTAACCTTTAATATTATAGTAATGTGTCATTTAGGGCTCCCATGTAGTTCATAACATTAGCTAAGATAGATTTTTTTATTCTTAAGAAAATTAATTATAATTGAATTTATGTAAACACAGAGACACATTTGTAAAAAAAAAAAAGTTTAATTAAAAAAAAAGATAAAAGAAGCAATTTTATGTTTAGTTTTCTCCCTTCTGCTGTACCGAACCGTGACTTAAAAACTGAGGTACCATCACGTTTGTGTACTGTTGCATCCCTAATACAAACTGTATCATATACAAACAGAAACATTTTGTATGGTCATAAGCATGCAAACTAATACAAATTTTAAAAATGAAATTTTGGCCGATTTATTTGTGAGTTTTATTCTTTCATTGAACAACAACAAAACCATTTTTTTTCTCTATTAATTCCCATTAATTCCAATGGGACTTTGAAAGTTCCTGGAATTTTGCAACCCTCGTTGATTTTATGCATTGGGAAGTAAACAAGGCCATTTTTTATATATATTAATCGGGATATGTTTCCACAAATCCATTTGAAATATAATTTGAATACTTAGCAGCCAACATAAGCAGCTAAAAATCACAAATTTAGAATAAAATCAATTTGTGAACCAATGAATCAGGAAACTTGATGTTATCTATTGGGAATTGAGAAACTGAGGTACATAGGATCAATTTTGATTGATTCAATTAGCATGTTTCCACAAATACTTTGAAACATGATTCAAATAGTTATGAGCCGATGCAAACAGCTAAAATTTCATCTTATTTGGAATAAAATCAATAGTTGTACGATATCAGTCCACGTAAATGGCCAATTCTAGGAGAATATTCCACTTTTATGACAATTATCACAACTTGTAAACACAGGCGATAATACTTAAATTAATTTGTCGATCATATATACAATCATCCTTAAAACAAAGCTGAAATATATTGATAAATGTTTAAATATTTCCAATGCATTTACATATATATTCACTTTACATTATAGTGATTTTTTTTTTCTTTTCATTTTCGATTGCTAGTAATGCTGCAGTCAAATACAAAAGTATAGTCAGAGGAATTGTGCCTCTGATAATCGTCTGCGTAGGGAAGAGCACTTGGAAGAGAAGAGAGCTAGATGAACACAAGCACTATCATGAGAAAATGAGACGGTCGTTAAATTTGGCGGATAACCAATCAGCTACTCGCTTGGGACTTCCAACAGTGTGATGAATATAAAGTAAAGAGATTCTGGCTGTTTTCTTGAATGCTATACACACATGGGGTGAAAACATTGACGAAGCGTCTGGAAGTCATTCGTTTTCAATGAAAGTTGGCGAGAAAATGGAAGCAGTTGTAAATGTTACGGATGTAAACCGGATAAAATCGGTTAAAAGCAACCGCAGATGTCGCCACACTGAAGACAAGCGCTTAAAGTATTTTTCTAAAGCACAAAAGCACAGGATTTCGAGTCTGGATAAAGGTGTCAGAGGCACGCTCAGCAGAGTATACGGGTGAGTTTTCACATTGTCGTCATCTTCGGCGCCATTTCCAGGTTACAAAAATAACTTAATTAAAAAGCTGATAAGAAAGGCCTTATATAATACAACCGTATGGGCGTGTGGCTGTGAATACAGCTGTGCGGATGCAAGCGGGAGTGTGTGTGTGTGTGTGTGTGTGTGTGTGTGTGTCCCGGTGGGGTCTGTGGCGGAGAGCGCAATACCAGAGTGTGTGCCTGATGGCTACAGTAGTGTGAGGTTGGCTATCAGGACGTCCACGACTGCATGTTGCGGAGCATGGCCTCGAAGCGCTGCATGCTGGGAGCCTGAGCGTGGGGCAGCTGGTCGCTCAGACGGCTGTACAGGCTGAAGGACTTCAGCTCCAGCCAAATGAAGCCAAAGCGGTCGCCATCGAACAGGACGAACAGACCCGGCGTGCGCTCCGGACTCGTGAAGCCGTGGCCAGCGATCAAGCCAGTCCCGTAAAAACTGAAGGAAAGAAAGAAAGAATAGAATTAAACTATTTAAAATGATTGCCTCGATTTAAATAATACAAATTAATATTTATTCATTTAATAATTATATTTATAAAATTAATTATATTACTTATATTTTAATTATCATTTTCAAGTGTACTTTATATTAATGTTTATATATATATATATATATATATATATATATATATATATATATATATATATACACACAAATTATATTTATCATATAAACATACATTTAATATAAAATCAAGTTAAACTTTTTTTTTTAAGTATAGTGTATATATCAGTATAATGTAATATAATATAATATAAAATACATTAAATACATTTCATATGTAATATATTAATTAATATAATTATCTAAAAATGATTTAATAGAATATACTAATTAATATAATATTTTCATTTAATTAAACCTAAAATAATTGTATTTTATATTTTATATAATTTTTATATTTCACATAATAAATAACTATTTACAATTTACATTTATTTTAATTGTTTAATTAATTTAGGTAGTTAATTTTAAGGTAATATTTCTGTATAGAAATATATCATATAATAATATACTTATGTCATATAAATAAAATTTAATATTGTATATACATAAAATAACAATATAGAATTATTCAGTTTAACAAATTATTAAAATATTACTTATAGATTATAATAATATATTATCTAAAATTGAATATAATAATATACTAAGTAACATAACATTTTTTTATTTCATCATTTTCTTTTCTATTTTCTATTATTTTTATATGGACTATAATAATTATCCATTAACAATTCAAATTTGTTTTAATTGTTTAATTTAAAAAAAATTGGTATAGAAGTATATATTATAAATTGTAATAAATAATATTTCATATTGTATAGACATAAAATAAAAATATAAAGTTATTCACTTTAACAAATTAAAATAGTAAATTGATTTAAATAGTTTAATTCGCCTATTTTTATAAAATATAATTATTTACAATATATAAATATAATAAAATGAATAATAAATGAATCAATATTATTAAAATAAAAATGTACAATAACTTTAAAATGTAAATTAAATTCATACATTGGTGCATGCCTGATTTAATAATCCTTATATAATGTTTAGAATATTTAATGTTTAAGATTAAATGAAATGAGAAATTAGAGGCTCTCTGACTCTGCCATTTAGATAGAGGTACCACGAACGTAGTCATTTTACTATTTAGATGTTATCACTGTAAAGCTGCTTTGAAACAGTCTATATTGTTAAAAGCGCTTTATAAATGAAGGTGACTTTCTATTCTGTAAACGCTGTTTTAAAGGTGCTATATAAATAAATCTTTACTTACTTACTCACGATACGGCACTCACCACTTCTTGCAGGTGCGAGGGTACACTTCATTACGGGCCATGACCCCCAGAGGCAGCACGAAAGGTTGAGGTTCAGGTTCTCCCGGCTCGACCCCCTCCGCTCCAGCAGGGGGCGCTGAATCTGAGCCCTCCGCCCCCTCTGCAGGGGCGTCCCGGACCTGTGAGGCGCTCTGGGCCTCCTCGTGCACCCCCCGCACCAGACGGGACAGCTCTTCCATGTTGCGCTGGGTCTCCAGGTCTGGTAGACGCACCGGCCGGTTCAGGTCGACTTCTAACGTCAGCTGACCTGCCGGGACATTGGGGTCCCCCTAGAAAACAAACAAGTGAGGTGATCAACAAGCAAAATAAGACATGATATAGATGTTGTTCGAGCCTTAGCTTGAACCTTTGTAAAGTTTTAGAGCTGGACACTTTGGGGAAAATATGGTATTTATGTTATTTATTCATTTATTATGTATTATTCGGTTTGGAGACAATATGGAAACATAAAAGTGAACATTGTAAATACAGTGCTTGTATTGGAGGCCTTCATTTCACACATTTAAGCATTGAGTTGAAAACATTTCAGACAACACCATTTTCTCATTAACATTAAACTGAGTGTTGAAGACCAAGAGCAACAAGGAGAGAGAGAGAGAGAGAGAGAGAGAGAGAGAGAGAGAGAGAGAGAGAGAGAGAGAGAGAGAGAGAGAGTGAGAGAGAGAGAGAGAGAGAGAGAGAGAGAGAGAGAGAGAGAGAGAGAGAGAGAGAGAGAGAGAGAAAATATTGTGGAAAAAAATTATTAATATAATTCTTATAATTATGATTTTATTATTACTTATTAATAATAATAAAAATGTATTTATTTTGTATATGCGAGTATTAAATTGTACAAATACTAACAAATAATTTATTACATGTATTTTAATGTCTAATATATATAACAATAACAATAATGATGAATTATTAACTATTAAACTTATAAACTATGATCATGTATCCAAATATATTATTTAAATGTTAAAATGTCTTAAAAATGCTTAAGTTTGTTTTTATATATATATAAAAAATAAAAAATAAAAAAATTATTCAGAATTTCATACATTATTTATATAAAATTACTGTTAATTATTATTTAAATAATAAACCATTCATAATAACTTTTTAAAAATAATATTACTTTAGATAATATTATTACCAGTAGAAGTATGAAAAACAGTATTTTGAAAGATTAATATTTATTATTGAATTTTTAATAATGAAATTATGCATCAAACATTTGCAATTTAAATATTATTACTTAAATTTATACTACAGGGCTGTTGAATGCTTGATTCTGATTGGTTGAGAACGTTCTAAGGTGTGCAATTATTTTCAGGGAAACGCACGGCTAAAGTAGTTCCAGGCAGGTTTGACCGCATTACAGTTCCGTATCACTGCGCGTAGTAATAACTGTAATAACGGAAAATAGGATACAATTCATAACAAGAAAAAACATGCAGCCCCATGCGCTTGATCTGCAATTTTCTATGTCTAACTTCACAATCAATGGAGACATACAGTTTAATTTTAATAAATAAAGTATGTAGTCCTATCTATAGGCTAAATAGAAAATTAAATTGAATAATAAATTGATAGTCCTGCTGGGTTTTCGTAATTATTCCAGATAATATAACAAATAAATAATTATTGATAGGCCTACTTGTTAAAAGGGCTTTGTGTGTTTCATTTATTGGGTTATCTACTGTCAATTATAGAAAACAAGAATGAACGAATTAAAACCAATTTAATTAATAAATAAATAATAATATTGACGCACATGCTTTTCTGTCTCATTATTGCAACATCTCTCTCTCTCTCTCTCTCTCTCTCTCTCTCTCTCTCTCTCTCTAATAACTGCATAAAGCCGGGACACACTGACTAAGGCCAGTTATGATTGTAATTTGATACTTATGACTGATCATGCCCAAACGCGTGTTCAGCGCGTTCAGTCTGTAGCCTATTCACAGTCTGTGTTTAAGACCTGCTACAGTCGATGGAAACAGTCAGTCTTCGAATGTTTCAGCAAGTCGTAAGTGTGTCCCCATCATTAGTCTGCTATCAGTGGCTCAAACCTCCGTTACTAACTCTAAAATGACGTTTTGGAATTAGCAACGGAGGCATGGGATTAGATGCGTAAGAAATTAGTCTTATACAAGAGCGTTTTAATGACAAAAACTTGACAAACGTCTAGAAATGCATCATCTGAACAATGTTTCGAGGTGTGGTATCTGTAGTATAAGCGGAATAATTATTCCTTACATATAAATGCTAGACCCAAAGATGCAAGTAGTCAATGCTTGTTCTTATTAAATTAAAAATGCTTTTCATATTTATAACAAAATGTCATTAAAACTAAAATCACATACTTCCCTACAATATTATAGGTGAAAAATAGTATGTGACAAAAGAACATACGCATGTCTGAACTCACAGTACTCATAAAAGAGGTTTTATAAATGTAAGGTGAAGCGGTGTAACTGACGCTGGTGGGTCACATGAGAGTGACATCATGCCAAATATAGTACGTCCAGATTACATTCGTCCAACACACATTCATACTATACAGAACTAGCCTTCTTAGCGGTTGTGCAGTAATTACCCATTCAAAAAAAGTGAATATGCGATTTCAGACGCAGCCTTAGTGTGTCAGCAGCTTGTGCTAATTCAGACGTTATGCCCAGAAACTTGAATCTTCATTCTGTTTCCATGCTTAGAGTCAACAATAAATTAACAACAAATACAATTTACTCCTGTGACGATTGCAGGGCATCATGACGGCTATACCTATGGATATCACACTCACAGTAAGTTTGGTGGCTTTGGCGTTGGAGCCATGGAAGCTCAGCATGATAATCTCCAGGCCGTGACTGCCGTACGTCCCTTTGAAGAGGCCCGGCTGCAGGAGGTCTGAAGGCAGGCACGGGGGCAGATAGATCCGCCGGTACGTCAGGCAATTACTGAAACCAACAAACACGCGTTTAAAACACGCAAATGTAACTGGGGAGATGAATGTGTTTGGGTGAGAAGAGGTCATGAAGAAGACTTGCTCGTATTGGCTGGTGTAAATGAACTTCATGAGGATCAACTCCTGCATGTGCTCGTGGAAAATGTCCTCCAGCGTTCGTCCCCATTCCTCCTCCAACCATGTTCTGAATTCCTGCACATGTGTGATATGAAGAAATAAAGGAGAGTATGCATCATTACTAACCCTAAACCAAACCATAACAGTAATTACATGCAGTTAATTCATATTACTCAGTACCTATTTGAGTAAGAACAATGTAACCGTCACCTTAAACTAAAGTGTAACCGATTATTAATGTAAAAATATGAATATTGTAACTCGTACGGTAAAATAAGAAATCAACTGTAAAATTAAATTACTAATGTTTAGTATTTAGTACTTTTCATCATAAAGGTGATTTAACTCTTCCCCTCCATTGACGAGTTCTCGTCTTTTATGAGAAAACGCTTCCCTGCCATTGACGAGTTAACGGTTTTCCGTGTTTTCACTGACTACGTTTACATGCAGCCAATAACCCGATCAAAACCGGGATATTAGCAATAACCCGGTCGCGCACGGCCATGTAAACACCGGCAAAAACCCGAATATGCTCATATCCCGGATTTTAAAAACCGGGATATGATACCTGGGGTACCCCTTTTCTAACCCGAATTTTTGGTCATGTAAACGCGCATCGGCATATCCCCATAGTGATGTGTGTTCTGCGCATGTTCTATTTGCAAGGAATCTTGGTCTTTTGAGTAGAGGAACTTCTCAGCGCATACAAAAACCCGCGTGCAGTATACCGGAAGTAAACATGGCGAGACGCAGCACAGCATACTTTTGGAGCGAGGTCAGTAACGTTACCAGCACCAAAGCGCAAACAAAGGCGATCGCTATCTGCCCCGAACTATTCATTATCCGCGTGCTGCTGCTATTGTTGTTGTCTTCGGATACAGGAAGAAGAATCGGAAATGATGCATATTGCGTCTTAAGGTTGTCCGTAAGTCCAGACGCTAACCGTGCGTCGCCGTTTACATCGGGATATTGCAATTCCATGTATACAGGAGAAACTCTCTCTGCTCACGCATGTAAACGGGTTATTACGAATGTTTCAGAAACCCGAATAGTGACCTTAACCCGACCATAACCCGAAAATTGGCTGCATGTAAACGTAGTCACTGTTATACGGTAGGAGGCGCTGTGGCATCTTCTGAACGAGTGCAGTATCTCCAGATCAAAACACAGGCGAAGAAGAAGCAGAAACGAGCGATTTTATATGGAAGTAGATGCATATGTAAAATAATGCGATCTTCAACATTAAACAGCATATAAATCAAAACTGCCTTGCTTTGTGCTTCGACGTGCTTGAAAAGGTGTGAAACACTAGAAAGCCCTTTGAAAAGTGCTTGAATTTCACTCTCAAAAGTGTAAAACAAAACAAAAACAACAACAGTTTTCAGCCACAGTACCATGGTTACATTTAGCATTGCTACATTAAATCCATGGTGAATGTTGGTGATTTGTGGATTGAAAAGCCTTCTATAACTTGTTCGTTCATGGCACAATGTTTCTCCTGGTTTCAAGGCCAGCGCTTTTTGATCTGATATCTGTGGTTTATAACAGAATGCTGTGCCGAATTTGAATGCTTCTCGCTGGATCTCGCTGCAATGTTATTAATAGGGTTTTTCACTGGATCTCCCAGCACTGTGTAGTGACTGTCGGATGATCGAGATCGGCCTGCAAGTACCAGCTCTGAGCTTGCGCTGGTTTCTTTTCACTTTTGTTTAGTTTGCAGTTTAATCATATGCAACAGAAATGGATGTACCGGCAAGATAAAAGGTAGCATTATGTGACCATTTGGTCACAGTCTGGAGCCCTGGAATATGCAATCTGGTGCATATATTTAGCAAAATGCTGCCTTTTTCTAGCTACCTAACAAGTTTTTGGACTTTAATTGATTTTCTGAGGTAATGTTATATTGTTTACAAGCTGTTTTATTGATGTCTTTCCGTGGTTGAAACACTGATTGAGCGATCACATGTGATATGATACGGATTTTGGTAAGTTGTACTTGATCTTTAAACATACCTTCTGATGTTCATTCATATTCGTTTTGTACAGTAGTAAAACGGAAGATATCAGTTCACGTGAGCTCCAGAAAAAGTTTCTGTTCATTCGTCAACTGAAAACAGCATAAACTATACGATCGATTCTTGGGATTTATGAGACTAGATTAAATTGAAAAATCTATATTTTTTACCCAGCCCTACTAATGTTTACGTCTTAAAGGGATAGTTCGGCCAAAAATGATATTTAAACCATGCATTACTCACCCTCAAGCCGTTCGAGATGCATATGTCAATCTTGTTTCAGACGAACACATTTTCAGTTATTTTAGAAAATGTCTTAGACCCTTCAGTGGATATAATGTGAAGCAATGGGGTCCACCTCCTTCAAGTCCCAAAATGTGCATATATCCTTCACAGAAGTAATCCATCCGGCTCCAGGGGGATAAACGAAGGCCTTATGAGGGTAATCCGTGCGGATTTGTCGGAAAAATATACATATTTAAAACTTTATAAATGAAAATATCTGACTTCCGGCAACGATCGACGCACATTCACGGGTGATGTTTTGCTCTGCTCTCTGGCTGCGCGGGCGCGTTCGGTCTACGTCACGACGCTACGTCCTACCTCGTACGCCGACTTCCATCACCCGTGGACGCGCGTCGATCGTTGCCGGAAGTCAGATATTTTCATTTATAAAGTTTTAAATATGTATATTTTTCCGACAAAACCGCACGGATTACCCTCAGAAGGCCTTCGTTTATCCCCCCGGAGCCAGATGGATTACTTCTGTGAAGGATATATGCACATTTTGGGACTTGAAGGAGGTGGACCCCATTGCTTCACATTATATCCACTGAAGGTTCTAAGACACTTTCTAAAATAACTGAAAATGTGTTCGTCTGAAACAAGATTGACATATGCATCTCGAACGGCTTGAGGGTGAGTAATGCATGGTTTAAATATCATTTTTGGCCGAACTATCCCTTTAATTTCTTCATTTTCAAGTGTTAAACCGTAAAACTTTTATTTTGACAGGTTTCCAGCAAATGGATGTGCATTTGCTGTGTTCACACCATGTTGTATTTACCGTAATTGAAAGAGGACAACCCGTGAAATTCTAACTTCTAGCCTTTCAAGTAACAGTAGAGCGTTGGCGCTTGCAACGCCAAGGTCATGGGTTCGATTCCCAGGGAAAGCAAGCACTGATAAGAATGTAAATGTGTACCTTGAAATGCAATGTAAGTTGCTTTGGATAAAAGCGTCTGCCAAATGCATAAATGTAAATGTACTCGGAGCTGCTCACTTCATCGGAATTATGCATTTCTAATTCAACATTGTCAACAAAGCTGCATTGCCATCATAAATCTGTCGGTTTTCCTACTGTACCTCTTGCCTTCCTCCAGGCATCCGATGGTGATCGGTCTGGTTGCATTTGGTGGAAAATTCATCTTTCTTCACAGTCTGGAAAAAAAGGTCAAAATTTTGTAAAAACTGTGGCACAATTTGTCCATTATGGTTGATTATGGTACATTTTACCTGAATGTCTCCTTTATGAGGGCCCTTATGTCCGTACATACATTCTACTGTGGCTTTGTTTTTCTCCCACATATGTATACGGAAAAGGGGCCGTCTACGCATGGGGTCCTCCACACGGGGATCATGGGGTGGTAAATACATCCAGCCTATGATGAATAGACCATCAACCTAAAATTATCAAAGCAAGAGTTACACATCTAAAATATGGTACACCTGTCACTTGTACATTTAATGTGTGTGGTCATCATATATATTGTACTATAATTGTATTTGATTTAGAGGCTTTTTTTATTTATATAAAATTTACAGTTTTACATTTGACAAGCTATACTATGCAGTATGTCCCAAATCATACATTAAAAATAGTATCCTATTCCAAGTGGATTTTCAAAATATGCATCCATACATGATTTTTGGACTGATATGGACCAAAGCCGCCTCAACAGGGCAAGTATGAAATACACAGACCACAACAAATGCGGCGAGGATGAAATGTAATAAATTAGTTTCATTTGTCCGACAGTCCCTTGTAAAAAGTAGTACACTTGTGCATACTTTTTTTTTTAAAAGTACTTTTTATAGAAATAATATACTTTCAAAAAAAATACTTAAGTGTGAAATAATTGTAATGTTTTCAGACAATTAGACAATGTTAATTTGCAATTCAATTAAAATCTATTATAGTTTAAATTTAGAGTGCTGTTTTTACTAACTTATTTGGGACTTAAGTACATCTTTATTTATAATTTCATAGTTGTACTGTCTATGGTTAAAAGTGTAGATCAATAAAACAATGATTTAAAAAGTATTTTAAAGTAAAGCTTTTAACTTGACTGACAAGTCGACTGTTTAAAAATGTACTTAAGTGTGTTATGAAACAAAGTCATGAAAGTCTACTCCCTTTAAGTGCACTTAAGTGGTCTTTATTTCATTAATATGAAATTATCTGCAAGTATAATTACAAATTTTTATCTTTTTTTGTGTGTGATCTCAGTCTTACCACCACATTCAGCAGTCCTCCATAGGGGCCGATATCAGGCTGCCAGAGACCCAGGATGTGTCTATAGGGATGTAACACTAGAAAACAAATACAAATCATGACATTTGTGTGTCACAAATATGCATACAACACAGAACAAACCCAGAAGAACGTTAGATGGGGTGATATCACCGCAAAGGCATTTCTGCATGAACTTGTGAATGCATGTTGAGTGTGTGAGTATATGCAACTTTTTTTTGCCATGCAACAACTTGGAAACCAAATAAAAAAATTCCTGGAGTTAGAGGGCTAAAAACGTATCCATGTTTGGTCACTTTTAATTCATCTGCATCTCACACAGTCAGCTGATGTTAGCACAGCCCTTGCCATCCTGTGTCTATCACACACGCATGCAGGACACACACGTGCACGGCGCCCGGCAGAAGCTGCCCTTGTGCTGCTATCAGATCAATTTGTCCCAAACAAGGCTGTGTCCCAATACGCATATTATCCATACTAAATAATCAGCGAAATTAGCATTAGTGCGTTCCAAATCGGTACATTAAAAGATATAGGAAGTATTATTTCCAGTGGAATAATATATGCTTGTAGCTAATATTAACCACAAATCCATGTGCTACAGAAAACCTTTCCGGTTGTAAAAAAAAAAAGATTTTGGCAGGAAATGTAATGCTAAAACAGAATTTAGATGCATATAAAAACTAATAATGTGTCTTAATGCAATGAATTTAGATAGATGAATGAATAATGTAACAAGGTTACAACATGTATGATGGTATTAAGTCACAGTCGGTCCTGATAGCGGTGACTACATACTTAAGTATGCACTTTCCCATCACCAGTGTGAACAACACTTTTAGTGCGCAGAAGATCTATGCAAACTGGGATTCAGCCTTAAAGGAATGTTCCATGTTCAAAATAAGTTAAGAATCTGTGACACACTGTTGAATAACTACAACTAAACCTATTAAAAATAGTTTTTGGTTATTGAAATACTGTAATTAATTCAAAATGTTGCCTTGGCAACTAACTAAAATTAACATTTTTAAGTTGAAGTTAGGGGTGTGCCATATCATACCGTCCACGATAATACCGGTATAAATATTTACATGATAAAAAAGTGTCATATCGCGATATCAATGATATAGCGACGCAATGACGTATGGCGCATTTAGCCTACGCTTCCCAGCGCGCACAACAACACCTGTATGAGAGTAAGAGCAGCCTGTCAGCCTCCGATGACGATTTAGCAATTTCACAAACAGCTTGAGTGTTCAGCGGTGCTGCCGACGCGCGTCTTCTCTCTCGCATCTCTCAAAATGTGTTGCACAAGGCAAGCGTCAAGCGCTGCAGTGGCGATACTACACTCTCGCCTTTAGGAGTCAGGACACGATGACTGAATTGTCACAATCGGGCCATCAGTACATCGTAACTAAAGTTTATAATTTTCATGTCTTCTCAGTTTAAACATTAACGCGATTTTAAACTATCCAGTAGGCTATGCTACTCGCGCGCTCTCTGAGAGATAGTTGCACTGGGTGCATACATAGGCTACAGCTTGCGTGTAACAAAAGTTATTTTTCGCGGTTTATATTACTTTAAAGTAACACCAGGTTACTTTTGCTCTCGGGGTGGGGTCCCCCTACAGTTGGGAAACAGTATTGTCCTCTAGACCTCTACTACTGTCGTAAACTCTGTCATCCTACATGCACGTGCAATTGTTGACAACCATGATAGCCCTGAACACTGTAGGAGGAGGTCACATGCAGGTGTTCTGCTTGCGTCTTGTCTGAAATGTACAGTGGCATATATTTCAGCATGTCATATGAATATAATTTCATGGGTTTTATTTTTTTCTAACGACAAATGATCGCGATGATCACGTTTACAAGCCAGCGTCATTATAGTAGCCTAGTCTATTGGTTACCGTTTTACTGAATCTATATGATACTTCAATGCAATGTTTGAGTGGTAGATAATAACCACATATCGTCAATATTATAATATCAAGCTACCATAAATGAATCTGCAAATTTTACAAATCGATTTGCATTATAGCTTGAGGCAAGACAAATAAACAAATATCACAGACATGTTACTAGGTATCCTAAAATATGATTTTGTACATCTTTACTTTACATCTTTACATTTTAGTATCTTTGTACATATATTTACTTGCAAGAATGTAGCCCCTACCAAACTTGTACACGCCGTTTAGACATAGGCTTTCATTTGATTTTTGATTTTTTTTTGCCAAGTCCGCATCGGTCGGGCACTCCTCCTCCTCCTTCAGCTCACGCCAGCGAGAAAATGCTGGCCCAATGTTGATCCTCGTTCTGCCTTTAACGCGATCACTTTCTCTTTTTCTCTTTTTGCTTTGCTTCGATAAAACCTTTGCTTTCTTGTTTTTCTGTGCTGCTTCGGCCATGACTATAACATTTGGCTCGCACGTCCGATTTTAAGGAAGTGGGGGTGGTGGTGGAAGTGACGTATATGCCGTAAAGCAGTCAACTTTTGTAGTTCTCTTTGTTCGCCGGTTACTACCCGAAACCCGAAGTTTAAAAGTACGATTAAAAACGCTACAGACCCCGCCAGGCTATGGCAGACGTGTCATTCAACCTATTGTAAGTCGATGTACCATCACAAGAGACTTGGAAATATATTATGAAGGTTGAAAAGTTACCTGGTGTTACTTTAATGGGGGGAAAACGCAAAATTGTGTACAAATTCCGGTCTTGGTAAGTATACTCGTAAACACAGTCGGTTATGTATAAAACGCATGTGACAGTGTGACAGACAGTATAATGAAAACGGCAATGGATCCGTGCACTAGCTCTAAAAGTGACAGCAGCCATAGGCTATGACGTCAAAACAACAAAAGATAGTTTTAATTGTAAGGAATGAGAATGAATAGCCTACGTATTTAATTTAGTCAGGAATCAGAACTAAAAGACTGTTATTTTACATTTGATTACTTTATTCAGTTTCTGTAGTATTTCTGAATACTAGTGTTAGACCTACCCTAAAACGTTTTTCTTTATTTGTATCTTTATTATTTTGTATACATTTTTGCTACTTTTTTCAATTTAATTCAAAGCATCAAGCTTCCTTGTGTTGTGTAAACTATTAACAACAAAATTACCCCATTGTAAAAACGCAATGAGTGAGCAAACATTTAGGTGAGATAAACGTAATAAACTTTTCTAAAAAAAAAAAGATCTATATCGTCATAAATATCATTATCGCAAATATTCTTGAAATATCGTGATATAATTTTGAGGCTATATCGCCCACCCCTAGTTGAAGTACAAAAATTACGATTTCGAACTGCCCGAAACGAGTCTTCAGTAATTCCAGTCTCATTTCCAGCACAAACCTGTGTAGGTTTGTAACAAATTTGCATAATGCTAGCCTGTGGTCTCCATTGGCTGCCCACAAACAACATCTGCTTTCACCAACTTAAATCTCATTTAAAGGTTCTCTAAGCGATGTCGGGTGACGTCACTTCTTGTTGACGTTTAAAGTATTGTCAAACAAAACAGAGGCTAGCTAGACCCTCCCTCCTCCTCATCCTTGCACTAACCCCCCAAACCCCGCCCCCAAGTCCTTCTTGTCGGTGATTGGCTGGAACTGTTTGTCATGTTTCGTGGAGCGGGTTAGCCCAGTTTGTTTTTGTTGCTGTTTGTGGAGCCTGGGCTGTCTACAGAGATCGCGTTTCTTTACAGTGTGTTCAGGGTACAGGCAGCCAGCGGTTAGTGAGGAGATGTTTGCTGTATGTGACAAAAAATGAGCGAGTAACAAAAGAGCGAGTAACACGAACTGCTTTACGGCAATTAGAAACACACACACCTCCATCTCAGTAGACATAGCTCCACACGATAAAGTTGGAGTGTCTGGGACTCATTTGTTCAACACACCGGATCCGACAAAAACAAAAGCACATGAGCGCGTCTACGGTAGAAAGGGGAGGAGGACGCCGCAAGTGAATTTACGACAGTGTTGTGAAATATTTACACCACAGCTGTAGGGGGAGCTCGTTGAGAAAACATGCGACAAGAAAAGTGAAAATCAGCGAATAAGTGGCTAGAGTTACCGAATGCCCCTTTAATATGTATGACAAACTAAATAAAAACATACTACTTAGAAACCTCCTGCTCAAGTCAGGGGCCATCTGATTGGAGCAGAGTAGACCAATCACAACAGACTGGGTCATCTGACCAATCAGAGCAGATAAGATAAAAAAGAGGTGATGCTGCAATGTATGGTATGAGAAAATTAAAGCATTTTTTTTTTTACCTTGGATGCATTTAAACTAATGTAGGAGACCTTTAAAACTAAATTAGGAACCTTTAGAATAACATTATTTTTATATTTTGTTGATGGATATCATGTTCCGACAGTTTAACTTGCAATGAACCTGGAACAAAACATCATTAGCAAAGAGCATCTTCAACCAGCACCTTCACAGGCAGTGATTTGCCTTCTCACACGAACAGTACATACAGTGTGTGTACACGTCCCGATAGTCCATATGCTCATAATCAGGGAGGAGCTTCATAAAGCGTCCCGACTTCACCTGCGGGTTCACACCTGGAGAGGTACGCAGGTGAGTGCGCCACAGGAAGAGAGGAGAGGCAAAGGAGGACAAGAGCGGACACTCAAGGCAGTGTGAGAATGACACTCGCAGATGAGTTCTTTAGTACCTTCGTCTGCCATCTTGGAGGATATCTTTTATTTTATTTTAATACACCTGGCATATTTACAATTTTAAATCAACTGAATTATATACAAACGTCAAACTAAGGAATCTTTCCCTATAAGCACCAAGCATGCATGTTTTCACCCGCCGAAATATTTTTGGTTTAAACCAACATTGTTACTAACGTTAAACAAACCACCCAAACAAAGTTGGTTTACCTGACAATAAATCTGTCTTTTGTGAACTAAAGTAAACATAAAATGCATTGAGAAAAATGACATGACAAATGACATGGAATGAGGTGGAGCAACAACATTACATTAACAGATCTGTTTTTTGTTGAAAAGTCCAAATGGCGTTTAGAAAGACATTAGGCTCTAGATGCTGCAGGATTTGTCAGGAATCAGGATTTTTGCAGATCACTAGGCTGATTATAGTTGATTACCTGTTTGTCCAACCAATGGCAGATGGGAGTTCCAGTGTTTACTAAAACTATTAAAAATCGTTAATTGAAATAAAGAGGATATAATATGAAACATAGGTAGTACTACAAGAAAAACTTAAACTAAAAAAAACTTGAAAACAAAATTTAGAAATGTTGCTTTGGCTACGAACTGTAATAAAATACGTTGAAGTGCTAAAATTAATAAAAGAAACTGAAATAAGACTAAATGAAAGCTATATAGACGAAAATCACAACAGACTGTCCATCTGTTAAAGAAAATGATAAAAGCACAAACAAAATTACAAAAATTTAAACAAAATGTAAACAGAAAATATAAAAATGTAATCTTATTAAAAATATTGCTACTATTATTAATGTTTAAAACAGTTGTGCTGGTTAATATTTTATGGAAGACTGATAGATTTTTTTCAGGATTCTTTGGTGAATAGAAAGTTCAAAAGAAAAGCATTATTTAATCGAAATTTCAATATTTTGTAACATTATAATCTTTTTACTGTCACTTTTGCTAAATACAAATATTTACTTAAAAAAATTAAATAAAATAAAAATCTTACTGACCCCAAACTTGTGTATTTAAAGATGTATTCACCCAAAAATGAAAATTTACTCACCCTCATGTCATTCCAAACCTATAAAACTATAGTTTATCTTCAGAACACAAATGAGGATATGTTTAATGAAATCCGAGATATTTTTGTCCCTCCATTGACAGCTTCACAACACTTTCATGCTTAAAGTTCATAACGAGATCGTAAAACTAACTAATCAATATGAATTGAGCGGTTTAGTCCACATTTTCTATAGAGACTCGATTGCTTTATATGAACAGATTGACTTTAGGGTTTTATTCACATTGAAACATTGATCAGCGAACATAAACAGAAGCTCAACTGAACCTGCTCGACGCGCAAGAACAAACCTCTTGCTGAAGCTCAAACGTGCTGCGTAACACGAGAATGAACCTCATTGGTTCTTGCAGAAGCTCAAACGTGCTGCCTAACATGAGAATGAACCTCATTGGTTCTTGCAGAAGCTCAAACGTGATGCGTAACACGAGAATGAACCTCATTGGTTCTTGCACATCAAGTGAACATGCATGAGATTCCATTTCCCCCGACTGATGTGTGCGTTTATGAATGTTTATATATAAATAAAAGCCTAAATTAAATCTCTTCATCATATAAAGCAACCGTGTCTCTTCAGAAAATTTGGACTAAACCGCTCAAATCATATGGACTAGTTTATGATCTCTTTATGAAATTTTTGAAGCATAAAATTGGTATTTGCGTAGCTGTCGATGAGGACAGAAATCGCTCAGATTTCATTAAAAGGTCTTCTTTTGTGTTGCGAAGATGAACGAAAGTCTAGCGGGTTTGGAACGACATGAGGCTGAGTAAATGATGACAGAATTTAGATTTTTTTGGTGAACTATCCCTTTAATTACTTAAAATTCATAGGGACTGGCAAAATAGGAGGCTTTTGTGGTTACAGTAGATTTACTTACGTTTCACATACAGATCTCGGCTCGACATTCCCACTGTCTCCATCTTCCGCAGGTCATCTCTCATACCGAATTCTGAAAGAAGAGGAAAAACAAATAAAACAATCATGTAGATCAAAAACATATAAACTAACTTACTGGTTTATTTAGTATCTTACAATTTACACACAAATTGAATGCACATAGTTCCTGTGCAAACTTTTAAGCTGATGATCAACATAATACACAAGTTTGTGTACTGTACTCTATTCGACTTTATTATATTATTGCAGTGTTGTTAGGGCCTGTTAAACAGATGGTTATGCAATAACTGTAAGAACTGAGATAAGACAAGTGACACCCTCACAGGGTCACTTATCAGCACACAGACGAGGCTTAAGCCTAGTCCCAGACTAAAATGCATGTTTGAGCTGTTTTAACTGACAGCAACTTGCACTGACACATCTTAAAATATGTCAGTGCCATTGTTTTGTTTCAAGATGCACACCAGCAATGTTTCTTCTCTTTTCTAAGGCACGTTTATACATCTATTTAAACGTCCTAATTGAACTAAAGCCTAATCCTGGCTTAATCTAAGCCATGTCTGTGAATCCAGACCCTGACTATTTTATCAGGACTTTTTGTTTTTTGTCAACAGTTTTGGCCAATCGCTTGACCAGTCCAGTATGTACATAATGCATTTCATTCCATAGCAACACACTGACAGGCAAACATATAAAACTAAAATTTGAATTTTTTACTACGTGTGCATATGAAATATCTCAAAAAGCAGCCTATCTAGACAGCATTTTAAAGTGGTCCTTGATTATGATTTCACTTTTTTAGTTAGTGTGTAATGTTGTTGTTTGAGCATAAACAGGCTGCTAGAGATGAGGAAGAGTTGTCGTCTCTGTTTTTTACACCCCGGAAAAAGTTTGTCCTAAGGCTGATGAAGTTAACACTGGTTCCTGAACATTAAACATTAAACGTCCTGTGAAATCCGAGCTTGTAAAGTCTGTGCTTGAAATCCGTTCAACACAATCCTCTTGTTCGTTAACACTGTCAGGGTCTGAATCAGGCTCAAAATGGTTTAATATTTGTATTAATGTTGGTGTCATACTTAAAAAAATGTTTTTATAAGATTTTCTAAAAAAAAAACATTTATTTTAATGACTCTAACTGATTACATGCGAGTGTACACAACTCAATCATTATGTGAGAAGGTCAAAATATATTTAAAATTTTTTTTGATCTTTTAGTCACAAGGTTCAAAAAAGGTAATTTCTGTTTTTTGTTATATGGTTTTCTGATCATACGAAATGAAAGGAAAATGGTTTTCAAATATTGTATAAATAATAAATAATTACAAATAAGAAATAATAATTAATTATATATATATATATAAAAAAAATCAAAAAATATGATTAAAAATAATAATAATAAAAGATTATGAAAAACTCCTTACATCTATTTTTTTCAGGAATGTCAGGTTTAATACACACACTCACATACAAATATGAGTGTTGTTCAAGTATCAACAAAATATGTTGACCCAGGATCATGTCTCACTTATCAAATTTGACAATTTCTGGTTGATTACACCACCTAAACATTTCTGACTTTAGGTCCCACAAAAAAAATATCTGAATCAATGTTTTGATTGATACAATTGTTTTGAATAACATGATAAATCCAGGAAAAACAATGACCGTCATGGCACATACACCTTTACACATACATGTGTGTGTGTGTGTGTGTGTGTGTGTTTGAGTCGGTGTCATAATCTATATGTATGTGTGTGTTTATGAGTCGGTGTCATAATATACGTGTGTGTGTGTGTGTGTGTGTGTGTGTTTATGAGTCGATCGATGCCACTACATACGTCGATGCCACTACACATAAAGAAGAAAGCCACTATATAAAACCCAAATGGTTTTACACATCATTACCCTCTGTGCATCTTCTCCTCCAGATTGTTTCCGTGTTGAGAATCTGCCTGAATTTCTTGCACACCAGCGCCAGGTTGGGCAGCGCAGTGCCGGGCAGAGAAGAGAAGATCTGAACAAGAAGCTCCGGCGGAAGATCCAGCAGTGACTGCGGGTGTGGAGGCCCAGCAGAGTCCGCAGAACCGCAGAGTCCCCCGGCCCCGCTAGGCCCCGCGCCGCGCCTGTTCTGACAGCTGCTGCCATTGGGCTCGTCTTTCATTTTGCCCACGACCCTCTCCTCTTCCTCCTCGTCGTCCATGTCCACCTCGGAGTCGCTGTTCTGATCCTGGCTGTGCCTCTGCCGCCTCCGGCACCGCCGCGACTGACCCACTCCACAGAGCCTGGCACACACCGCCATCTGTAGCAACATTACATCATCATCACCGCACAACCACTGCTGTCAGTCAGTCACCTGTTCTGCAGAGCTCCTCCGGGGCGTGCGTGTGCGTGCGCGTGCGCGTGCCTGGGCGTCTTCACGTGACGCCTTCGCGCCGCACGCTGCACTGTTGACGTCATTGGTTACAGAAGGTTAGCAAGAATATTTACATTAAACAAAAAAATTTTGATTTAAATATTTAAAGCTAGGTTTAAAAGCAATGACAATATATATATATATATATATATATATATATATATATATATATATATATATATATATTAAAAAGAAAGAATATTTTTCTCGTGATATTTTGTTTTGAAAAACTGCATGCTAGCGACATCTGCTGGTCAAATGTGATTAGCAGAAATGTAAACATTGGGGAGGAAATCAAGATTATAATTGTTTTTATTATAATTATAATTGACATATGTATGTATGTAGTACCAGTCAAAAGTTTGGAAACATCATTATTTTTTATGTTTTTGAAAGAAGTCTCTTATCCTTATCAAGCCTGCATTTATTTGGTCAAAAATACAGAAAAAAACTGTATTGAGAAAATATTATTACAATTTAAAATAACGGTTTCTATTTTAATATACTTTAAAAATAATGTAATTTATTCCTGTGATGTAAAGGTGAATTCAGCATCGTTACTCCAGTCTTCAGTGTCACTTGATCCTTCAGAAATCAGACGATTGGATTTCAACTAAATTATAAAAAAAGGAAACACTTATAACAATGTTGATTAAAAACGATGTAGAAAGTTTACAGGTTATAACAATGTAGATATCAGTTTTAAATTGTTAAAACGCATTCGTTGCTTTTGTGTGTTATTCGGTAATGGCGAAATAAAATAGATGAGATTGAGATTGAATGAGAATAAAAGTACTGTAAAATTGCTGTCGGCTAAATAAAAGTCAAATAAAAAAACACGAATAACAATTCGTGAATTTGTATTTGTATTTGTATTTTTTTTTACTTTCACTGGATAAGTTTGTTTATCAAAATTTGGTGTTATAATATAAAACACATTGCCGTTTAAAGAATTACTTAAATGATTACTGCACATTGATTAAAATATCTTGCAACCACAAACGACTGTAATTGGTCTATCGTAATCAACTAACTCATGATGACTCATCAGCGCTGAGAAAAGTAACACTACTGTGTACACAAGTTTTAACAGCCTGCTTAAATCATTTTCTGCCTGTCGAGTGAGTCAGCAACATTAATAGAAACAATATAATAACGGAATAAAAAAGTTATTCTTGAAGACGTGTTATAGTTCATCATGTGGATCATGTTTCAACTTTATTTACTTCTGTTTCCGTAGCAACGAGGAACAAACGGACGACTCACCTGTGCTGCGATATGGTAAACTACTTTTTTTGAGCTATATTTTTATTCAATTATTCGTACATATTATATTTATGTCTTAGAATCGTGTATTAATCTGCCTAACTGTTTTGTTCATCTCTAAAGGCTGAAGTCGAAGACACTTTAAAGAGGATTCAAGGCTATAATGGTGTTATTGGCTCAATAGTCGTTAACGCAGAAGGTAACGTTAGGCCTAATCACAATTTAACATGGTTTTACTGTAGTTACATTAACTGTTATATTTATAATATAATATAATAATATTTTACAAAACTACATAGGATAAGCTGGTATAGAAAATGGAAAATACAATATTATATAATATAATATTTTACAAAACCCATAGGATAAGCTGGTATAGAGAATGGCTAATGTAATATCATATAATAAATATAATATAATTAAGCAATATAATTAACATAATATAGCATTTTACAAAGCTACATACTTAGGATAAGCTGGCATAGAGAATGGATATAATATAATATCATATTTTACAAACCTACATAGGATAAGCTGGTATAGAGAATGGATATGATATAATAATTTTTTTTACAAAACTACATATAGGTTAAGCTAGAGAATGGATATAATATAATATAATATTTTACAAAACTACATAGGATAAGCTGGTATAGAGAATGGATATAATATAATATATAATATGGTAGAGTTATACTAAATAATCAACAATAGTGATGAAGAAACTGATTTTGCATGAGGGTTTATAGGATTAAATAGCTTCTAAATAATTTTTTTTATGATAAATACTTGAAGTGTAAAACTACACTTAGAAGCCGTAGTTCCATTGATCTTAACCTGGTCATTTTCAGGCATTCCCATCAGAACGACCCTAGACAACTCGACGACGGTGCAGTATGTAGGACTGCTGCATCAGCTGACTATGAAAGCCAGGAGTACGATCAGAGACATCGACCCCCAGAACGACCTGACGTTTCTGCGCATCAGGTCCAAGAAACACGAGATCATGGTGGCACCAGGTGGGTCAGCGCATTATCAGCCCGTCTTACTTATCAGGCTGTTAAAGCACTCATATACTGTAGCTCTCACCTTTTCCCCATTTTCCTCCAGATAAAGAATTCCTGATGATCGTCATCCAGAGCCCAACTGAGTAGATGGCATACTCACTAAATTATATTCTTTAAAACATGTAACTGTGTTTGTACACTGCCCTAAACAAGTATAACATTTCGTCTAGTGAATAGCTTTTAAAATAATCCAAATATTTCTTTTTATTAAAACTTTTGATTGTGCATTGTGATTGATTGGATGTCAAGTCGTCAATAAATAAGTGATTTGTTGTCTTTATTATGGAGTATATGAGTGTTTAAGGTCCTCTGAAGTGACAGTTTTGCTATGGCTGATCTATACAGTATAGAGAGAGAGAGAGAGAGAGAGAGAGAGAGAGAGAGGCTATATATATGTGTGTGTGTGTGTGTGTGTGTGTGTGTGTGTGTGTGTGTGTGTGTGTGTGTGTGTGTGTGTGTGTGTGTGTGTGTGTGTGTGTGTGTGTGTATAAAACTTATATAAAACTATTATATTCTATACAGTTATTATATTATACTGTATATATTTTATTTATATTGTACTATTTCTACTAATAATAATAATAACAATGAAAAATGATATTTAATTAATATTATTTATATATTATTATTATATTTCATACAATTATTATATTATATATCTATTATCTTATATAGTTCTACTACTACTAATAAAAATAATAATGGTAAAAATGGTATTTAATTAATATTATTTATAATATATATTATATTTCATACAATAATTATTATATGACATATATTATTTGATATAGTGCTACTACTAATAATAATGACAAATTGTATTTAACTACTATATATAGGTCTATGTAATAGTATTTGATTGAATTTAAAATAATGTTTAAATTAATTATTTAAATATATATATATATTCATATATAATAATTACTTTATAAAATGATGATATTATTATTATTATTATATCAAAATGTAGTTCATATGTTTTCCAGAAGATGGCAGGAGTTCAAGCAGATTCTTTGTATCGCTGCTCATTTGTTTCTCTGATAAATGGCTGGTTTAATGGGTTGTGACAGCGGTCTGGTTTATTGTGCTCTTCTGCAGTACTGAGCTAATTATGCGCATCTTCTACATCACACCATCCGCGCAAACAACAGAAAGCACATTTAATAGAAACATATGCTGGAAAAAAATGGTTATTCAATTTGGTCAGTGTGGTGGATTTACAGGTTTGGCTGGTTCATGTGTTTAAGCTCCATTACGTGCAGCTGATATGCTGTTGTGTTGTGTGTGTGTTTTTGCCTGAAGGTCAGTGTTGTCTTTTGAAAGGAACAGTGCAGCCAGAACGTTTGTGCTAATTACTCTATTCCTTTCCTTTTCTGCCTTTAGCTTTTTATGGTTGCAGTTCTAGGGCTCTTTACCCCATGCAATCTTAAAGGCACTTTCCATGAATAGGGTGGGCTACAAATTGGCATCCAATGACATAAATAAATACATAATGGACAAATGTCATGTTCTCATGAGTAATTGTCTAACATAAAATAAAAATGAGGTATGAAAAACAGCAAGTTAAATAGTGGTCTTGTGTTTTGTCCTTTTCATGGCATCCAACAATGAGTATAATAGAAATATTAGTTGTAGAAAATCCTTCTATTTTTTGTAATAATGATAACAGTAATTATTATTATTATTATTATATGCCAATATAATATATAGGAGTCCTCAATGAGCGGTGACAGCAGGTGCTGCTCGTGAGAGTGAACGAGTGGGTGGAGTTGTAGGGTCTAGTGCTGATGGCATGCTTGAACCCGTGACAGAATCCGATGGAGAAACAAGAGAATCATGGTGAGGTTTGAGGAATGAAACATGGAAGGTAGGTCCAGTTCTTTATTGGGAAAGTAGGTTTAACCTGTAAGTAACTTTGTTGATTTGTCTCTGGATGGTGAATGGTCCAAGCGGGGACTTGCGTCAGGGCAGCCGGAGGCGGATGTGTGTCTCTGGTCGAGAGCCAGACCTTCTGTCCTGGATGGATAGTAAGAGAAGTTCTGCGGATGTCGGCCTGGCTCTTTTTTCTCCGAACTGCCTTCTGTACATGGATGTGAGCCGAGTCCCATAACCTTTTGCTCTTTTGCAACTTCTGAAGGCCCACCTGAGCAGGGAAACTGGGGCGAATGGTAACCCAGTGTGCACTGGAAGGGTGTGAGACCAATTTCACAAAGATAGACTTTGACTATGGCTTAGATATAGTAGACAGTCAGACTTCAGATAGACATCTAAATAAGGCCGTTGCACAAACAAAGCACTTAAGACACTGACTATCTTAAGTAGGACTACACTGCAATGCATTCTGGGTAAAATAAGACACTTTTCAAAACAAAAAACATGGCGGATCGAGTAAGCGCATTCAACCGCTCAGTGCAGTTTACCCCAGTTTGTTGGAGGAGTTTAACAGTTACAAGGACATTTTATTTGGGAAATTTAGCGGAGAATGTAGTAACAAGAAGAAATGTTTAATTTGGAAAAAGATTGCTACGACAGTAAACAGCATTAATCCGACCGTTGAGTGGAGTGTTAAAGACGTACAGAAAAGATACAAATCATAGCCTGGGAAAACCCAGACAACTTCCGGCAAATTTAGATTTGATCTGAAAGTTAGTCTGGCAAAGAGCTCATTCAAGCTCATTTCCAATCCGTCGAAATCGAGGCACCAATCAGAAACGTTGGGGCGGGCTTTACACGATGACGACAGCGCTGGGATTTTGAAGCAGATTTTGTAGCCTACATTACAAAGATGGATGCCGCCGTCGAACACCACTCGTTCGAATCAGCTATCGCGTCTGTTTTAAGCGATTTAAACGTTTCCTTTTTGTTAAAAACCGAGCAAAGAACAACACTCGAGATGTTTCTCCGCTCTGCATACGTCATCTCCTTCATCGCTCTGATTGGGTAATATAATATATCCGTGACGTCCGTTGGTGACGCCCCTCTGGAAATGATTTGTCTTGACACTTTGCCAGACCATAACTCAGTTACAACTGAGAATGGTCTGGTTTTAACCAGGCTAACAAAAACATGGTACAAGTAGGTTACTGCGGTCCCTAAAAACCCGTTCTCTTCTCATAGCTCTCTCCATAACGTCGTCAGCAAACCACAAATTATGAGCCATTTTCCCTTTTCTTTTGGCTGTTTGTAATGTAACTGATTGTTACTGCTGGTTGCCATGGTAACATAGAGTCTTACTGTGCGTTCACACCGGACGCGAATAGCGCGTCAAATTCGCGTCTACCGCGTCTAGTTTGACGCTTGACCACTTTGTGTTAATTCGCGTGTCAATGGCGAAATTGACGCGCGTAAAAACAAAAGTTTGAAGCGAAATTTACGCGCGTAAGAGGCGAAATCCGGAGGCGAAAGTTTCGAAACCCGTTGGCGGCCATCTTTTTAGATGTTTATCGAGCATTAGCATTAGCATTATTCGAGAGAGTCACCGCTCGTATATGCTCTGGAGAGCAGAAGCAGCTCCGTAGGGGACATCGTCGCTGTACTCGGGTCCACCAGAACCTCCGGAGGGTTTCAGGAGTTTCACAATTTGCTCCAGGAGCTAGGTTTGGTGGACCTAATGGTGAGGACGCTGATGAGGACAGCGTAGGCCGTATAAGCCCTCGGCCTCGAGTGGTCTAGCTATGCCTGTCGAGCCCGCGCTCTACAGCCCGGCGGGAGGTTCACCCTCGCCCGCATCCACCTAATCTGTCATTTATTTTTGTTTTGATAATAAATGAAGCCAGCCTCCAAAAGTGATTAATCTGTCCTGTGATTTTTCTCTCTCTCTCACACATCACTGTCCAGACACGAACTTATATGTTAGTTGTCTTTACATTATAATAATATTTCATATAATCTAGATATGGAATAAATAGCATTCAATGCAAAATGAATATGTCTCATATATTGAAATCAAGTTTTATGTGATAAAATATTTGCTTTGTTGTGCATTAGAACCACAGTCATATATTACAAAATAATTTATTGAAGCATCCAGATACTTCACCACGTGACAGCAGCAAGCAGCTAGGCTCCTGATTGGTTAACGCGGCGCGAATTGACGCAGAAGTTCAGATTTTTCAACTCGGGCGGCAGACGCGAATTCGCGTCAAACGCGTGAATGCACAAATAGCACTAACTAAATCATTCGCGCGTAACGCGCTTAACGCGCCAGACGCTCAATTCGCGCCATTCGCGCGAACTTGACGCGCGAATGAGGCGTATTCGCGTCTACCGCGCCGCGCTCTACGCCTCATTCGCGCCGCAGGAATTTTTTACGCGCGTAACGCGTCTTTGCATTGACTTAACATTGAAATCACTCGCGCCTGACGCGCTATTCGCGTCCGGTGTGAACGCACCATTAGAAGTTAGCCAGGGGTAAGGTGTCTTTTTAAAAAAGTCAGTCTTTATTTTTGTGAAACAGTCTAACTTGCATTAGACTAGTCTATGAGCAAATTTTAGACCTGTCTAACACTATAGACCGGTCTAAAATAGCTTTGTGAAACCGGCCCCTGTGGTAAAGTAGCTTGACGGAGTGAGATTTGTGCAGACTCGGCCCACGGTAGGTATTTGTTCCAGCTGTGCTGATGATTGTTGTTGTATAACCTCAGGTAGCGTCCAATCCCTTGAATCCTGCGCTCAGTTTGTCCATTCGATTGTGGATGGTACCCAGAAGATAAACTCACCTAGGAGTTGAAAGAATGCTTTCCACACTCGGGAAATTAACTGTGATCCTCGATTTGACACAATGTCCTCAGGTAAACCAAAGTTACGAAACACGTGGTGGAACAAGGCTTCAGCTGTTTCAGTAGCGGAGGGTAGAGGTCTGCTACCCGACCCGAGCCCGACGGGTCCCGAAAAATGTGCGGGTTTCGGGTCGGGTTCGGGTTAATGTTAATGAACAGCCTCGGGTTCGGGTCGGGTTCGGGTTTAACTAAGAAAAACTAAATAGGCTATATATAGTTTGCGTGCCGTGTGCTTTGCCTGCTTGCTGTGTTGTGGTGACCGGCACGCGAGAGAGAGAAAGTATAGGCTACGTGCGCAGATGTGCAATATGTGCGCGATTTTCTCTCTCTCAAATATAATGATATATAAATATAATTTTTTTAATTATTTGTTTTATTTTATCATATCATTTATATCACAAAACTGTTTTGCGCATGTGCTACCGCTCTCGCGCCCTATTTCAGTAACAATACAGACAGCCGACGACAACAAGCAAACCATGAGTCTGATAAAGCAAAAAATTA